GTGACTCTAAGTTTCTCTAGAACAGAGCACTTCACACCAAACCACTCGGAATTATGCAGAAATTCTGAAAAACCTTGGAATTCCACTTGAAATTAATTCATTAATCTGACCTAAATTATCATTTAACTTGTATTGGTGATGAAACTGTGATGTTAAAATGACAAACACAAATAACTTGATTTGTTTATTCACTTAAATTAACAGCTCAAATATGAGTGTAAAAAACGACAAACAGATTTTCTTTTTTTTTTTAAATAACTTCATTTCAAGTTCCAAAACACATTCAAATACAAATCTGCAAAAACACTGACAAGAACATACAAATTACATTCATCAATGACCCTTTTTTCCTTTACAAAGCAAAACTGATCAAACTGCAAAACTGCAGATGTAGTGTATCAGAAACAACGCAGCACCTGTTTACTGTTTAGTTATATTTAGCACGCATGGTAGAGTCTGTTTGCAGTAAAGTTAAAACTGTTTAGAGCTTTTTTCTGGAGTGTCTGAGAAGATGGAGTGACTTGTTTCCAAAGCACTAGCTGTACTGAGCCAATAAATACTAACATTAACCAACCACAAAACAGACAGAGGACTGTGCTAAAGTCAGAGACCACCATTCATTTATTTCATTTCCAGATACACAGCTTTTAAGTACAGGATACTTTTCAGGATATATTTGAGGAGATTAGACATCAGATAATCCACTTGAATAAGGAAGGAGAAAGTCAAATGAAAGTAAGGGAAAAAACAGGAGTTAAGAAAGCTGGAGATGAAAAAAAAAATAGATACTAAGAAAATGTGGCTCCTAACAACCACCTGGAAGACCTGGTAGACACCAAAACTGCCCCCATCAGATAAACAGCATTTAAAGCTTTCATCTTTGAGAGAGAGGAGAAAATCAAGCTGCTTCAGATCTGAAAACATCCACAGGTGTTTCTGTCCATCCTTCCAATGTGAGAAGACGACTCAGCGCTGTGGGTCTGAAAGATGTGTAGCTGTCAAGAAGAACCTCACTGAGAAAAGAATAATGGACTGACCACCCCAGAGTCCAGGGCTCAACATTACTGAATGGGTTTGGATGGTGAGAAGCAGAAAATGCAACCAACTTCTAGGACTGAACTTTGGAGGTGTGGAAAAATATCCCTGCAGATTTCTTTGAAAAAAGTGAGTCTCCTGAAAAGACTGGAAGCTGTAATAAAGGCAAAGTGTGGACATATAAATACTGAAATTATATTTCGTTGTTGGTGGAACATCTATGTAATTTTCTGATAAGTTGGTTTTCTGTGCTTTTCTGGGCACTGAAAAATAATAACTTGACCTTAATGCTTGTTTTGATGAAAATTAAACAAATGAAGGGTGGTCTCTGACTTTTGCAGAGCATATTAAGAGGTGGCATGTACTTCTGAGCACATTGAAATGTGTGACAGAATGTAACCTACGCTTTTTACACTGCAATATGTTTCACCAGTCATGATTAGACAGTATACATACATAAAGTTTATGCACATACAATAACACTTCTGAAGTTTCAATAAATAGATCAATGATTTATGCTTTCACCCCTAAAATGCATTCATGCCTGAATATGTCCAAAGCTGTCCAGACAAACTCTGCTAATTAGTGAATTCAGCTTCTTTTAAGGTCACCCTGCTGACACAGGTGTTCAATTGCACACACAGCTTTTATAATCTGCATAGAAAAGCACTGACCAATAGAACGGGACGCTCTGGAACAGCCTCACATGAGCCAAAGGTTACCATGACCAATGCATCAGCTAGAGGGGTATAAAGCCCCCAGCATTGGGCTGTGGAGCAGAGGAGCTGTGTCCTCTGGAGTGATGGAGCTCCATCTAATACCTTTGGGAAGAGCTGGAGTGATCCAGAACTGATCATCCAACATCAGTACCTGACCTCACTAATGCTCTTGTGGCTGAATGCAATCAAACCCACACAGCAATGTTCCAGCATCTACTGTAAAGTCTTTCAGTACAGGCTGTTACTGCAGCAAAGACAGACAAACGTCCTATTAATACCCTTGATTTCAGAAGAACCGTACAAACCTTTGGACATGTAGTGTTAAAGGCAGTCAAACTCACTAGTGTTATAAAATAAAAATTTGCATACATCTTCAATCTTAAACATATTAATACACTTATTTGCTATTAGAACAAAAGGGCGATGCCCTCACCACATCTTTCCACAACTGAGAAATGTCCTAGCGGTCAGCCAGCATTCACTAAATTTGCTTTAAGCAATAAACAATGGACCATATTGCGTTGGGGACCACATTTTTCAAGCGCAAGGTAAACGGCACAATTATTTTTGTTTTTTGGAGCACTGCTTCTGGCTGTACGTCTCTATTGCTAAGTAACGACAGCATCACTCTGCTGTTAGCTAGCTATCGTTTCAATATGTATAGGCAGAAATCCTGTACAGTGCTGCTACCAAAAACAAGCAAAACTAAAAAAAAACTGCTTTTTGTTTATGTTGCACTGATTTTATTTTGTGAAAATATAGGGTGATCAATGCCCATAACATAGCCTATTTACCTGCTTTGAGTTGACCTTTTGTGCAGGGTGCAAAAACAGTGTGTAACAAAATTGAAAACAACAGAAAAAAAGCACCTCAGTGGGCAAAAATTACATACAACATGAATGCCTCCTAAGAACAGTGTAAAAGATACACTTCAACGACAGAAGATTCAGATGAGATTGGCTTGTTGAACAGATCGTCGTAACTGCTCAATCTCAGGGGATTTAAACTAATGTACAGCAGGGCCGTGCAGTTTACTGTTTATTCATCATAACTGCAATATCGTCCTTTTCAATACTGATATCAGGGAAGACTGCGATATGCAAATAATCAAGCAGAGTAGAGATGCACTGAAATTTCAGCGACTGAACATTTTTAGCTGAAAAATTTTCCAGCACTTTCGGTGAAAAATGGGCTAAAAGTTTGACGGGAAAAAATATAAACAAAATTAAATAAGTGTGTCAAAATCTAACACTTTTAAAAACGTATTCGCTGCACAGCGTTCAAACAGTTTGAGCGGCAGCAGATCAACAGTGAAAATCTCAGCTGTGTGGAACTATTTCACACTTTCTGTGACAGACATTAGCCAAGAGATTTATAGTATATGCTCATGCAAAGTATCAAGAGCAGACACAACACCCAAGAACACATCTGATTCCACTCGGAAACACAACATCCAGCTTGATACACAGAATACAGCAAAACAACAGAAGCGGAACGTCTGCGTTAGCACCCTGACCTCAGTAGCCACACTTTAAAAAAAAAATGTGTGAAGCCTAACAAATAATAACGGTATCCATTGCCTTGGATGACCATTCTCTGTTGGATTCTCTGTCATCAGGGGTGCAGTAGCCTATTTTTAATAAATTCTGTAAGCTTTTGTTAGTTAATTTGTTCGTTTTTTTTTTCAGTTTTTGGTTTTGGTTTTCTATACTAGAGGGTTTTTTTCCATTTTACACAGCCCAAGTGATCAGCAAAGTTACTGAGGCTTTGGGTAAACTGGACCAGGCTGTTTGCAAATAAGTAAATGACTGGGCTTATTATTGGTCATAAATTCTAGGAGTTGTGTATTCAGTAGAATCATTAAAACTGACTCTTGATCTCAGGACTGAAGACCGTGTTTGAACCTGAACATATGTGCATCGTTACGCCCAAACATATGCAAACATATTAACATTAACATACAAACACAAGACACATTCAGACATGCCTTATTTTTGCTGCATCGAAAATGTATCGTATTGAGACACCACTGTATTGTATCGAATCTAATGCTGAATTCTGCATATCATTACACACTTAATACTTTTAATGCATTCAAGGACACATTTGGACACTAAAGCTCTGTAGTACCAGTTCTTCTGACACCTAACCGTTCTAGCTAAAATATCAAAACTGGTCTCAGATCAGCTTATGAAAAGAAAACTGTAGCAACATCCTTTAATGAACTAGATAAAGTCAAGTCCACAGTCCCAAGGCACGCAACCCAAAAATGCACGCCGTCGCAGCAGGAGCACCTCACTAGAACCATCTAATGACCTGCTATGGCATCGCTTCCACTTTAAAACTGCTCAAGTTCACATCATACAATGAAAGGCTAGTCAGTACCTCATCACAAAGGCAAAAGGACAGCGCATTATCCCTCATTATCTCCATGGAGACTTTAACGCTAATGCTAAAATGTTCTCAGTTCTAAAAATAGGCAGGCTGACACTAAATAAACCTGCATGCGGAGGTCAGTACTGTGAGTTACAGGGATGCAAAAATGCATTGATGCATCATGATGCATTGATCTGGAGGTGCTGATTCAACTGCACTGATTTGGAATATCCAAATTCATGATAAGGTCTAAAATTTTTGGCAAAATAAAAGTCTATTTTTAAATGTGAAATGTCTATGTTCCATGATGTAAATAGTCTCTTCAGTCACATTTGCATATTCAGAGTAGTTTTAAAAATAGCTAAACAAAATAATCAGAGGTTAAGATTTCATAATCAACTATTTTGTAATCAAATAGAATTTAAGTGAGGTCTGATTTTCAGCCCTAATAAGTTATACTTATTTTGAACTATGCTTTTAATTACAGCTACATTCACACAGCAGGTAAAAGTGGCCCAAATCTGATTTTCTCACCTAATCTGATTTTTTTGGTTTGGCTGTTCACATTATCTTTAAAATGTGATCTGTATGCGACATCAGTCTGAACAGACCAGCTCCTAAACTGACCCGCATGCGCAAAAGAACAGTGCGTCATGTTGCTTCATGTGGCTCATTCAGAGGTAAACAGTCACAACTGCCAACGAACATCAGTCACTCCAGAGGGTTCAGCTTCATCTTTGCCAGCATTACAAGAGCCATCATGAAGCTTCACTGACTGACAGCTGGGCTCATCTCTCTGAAGATTCTTTAAACGTTACTTTCAGACTTTTAACTGTTCTTTGATGCTGCAGCCTCGTTCTCCTCTGGCCACGTTCGGTCATTTCTTTCAAAATGTCTTCAAACACGGAGGGATTTGGATGAGTGTCTTCTAATGTTTTGTACAGAAACATCACCCTAAATGTTTTTGAGTCTCAGAAGCACAAAACTATGACAAATGTGGAGCTGGATTGACGTAAAAGTCGCATGAATTCCTATCTGGCTCTTCAGACTGAGTCGCATTGCTGCAGATCGGATATGTATTGGATTTCAGTACCACATATGAAAGCGTCTCAAATCAGACTTGAAAATGTCAGATTCAATGTGTTTTTGCTGTTTACACTGACACACAGATACACATCTGTGTCACATATGAAGAAAAATTTCAGATTTGGGCCACTTTTACCTGCTATATGAACAAAGCCTATGTGACCATAGGATCTAGAAATATGACAAGACTCTTGTTGCAATACAGTGACAAAAATGCTGACTTGCGCGGTCCTGGAATACATTGCCTAGTTTGTTAGTGTTAAGTAGATTTAAACACATTCAGTTTTTTCCTGAGTGCTGATTCTGGATCAACTCCCCATGTCCATAAAATTATATACTGTACATTATAATCTGAGGGGTGATAAATGATCCCAGACCAGTACTCTATATTATGGCCCATGCTGTAGTGTTTCGGGTGTATTTTGTAGTTGTGTGTGTCTATGTAAGTATTTGTGTATATGTACAGTCCTGTGCAGGAGTCTAAGCACATCATTAAAAACCATTTATCTTGGCAATGAGTCTTTTTTTGCCAGTAAAAATACCTTATATCATTAGAATAGATGCAAATAAACTACAGCAAGAATTTTCAAAAAGTACTTGATATCTCATGAGCTGGTTTGAAGAACAAACAAACATTTCTACTCAATGCCTCCAGCCATCACAGGAATCTATTAAATTCCTTTACCAGTATACTTGATCTAACATAATGAAGTATTGATTAGCCAAACCAGGTCCTGGATAATAATTACACATAATACTGGAGTTATTTGAGGAGAGGTTTATAAATGGTTAAACAAAACACTGGCATACATGAATTCACTACTTTTTGTCATAATTTTATTTGTATTTATTCTAATACTTGTGTTTTTCTAAGCAAATAAACACTAATTGCCAAGATAAATACCTTTTAAAGCCTAATTTTCTCAGATGTGCAGTACTGTATTCACTGCTGTCATATCAAAACATCATTTTTTCAGTTCACACCAGCTGCTCTCTATATTTTGTGAAGATTTCATGATGAATGGAGCAACAGAAATGCTCCAAAATGAGCTAGAATAGAACCTTGTTGCGTCAACATACATTAAAGCTAAGAACAGCTTTCCTCCTCCTGAAAAGTCTTTGTTTTGTTATGACAGCAATGAAATATACTTTTATTCTGTGCTGATCCTGGACCAGGTCCCCATGTCCTTAAACTTCTATACATTATTATCTGAAGGGTAAAAACGATCCTGGATCAGCACTTTTCATCATGACATTAAGGAGTGTTTCGGCTGCGCTTTAGCTGTGTGTCGGGCTTTATATGTATATGTATGTGTGCATGTATAGCTATGATGCTATAGCTCATCTCGGTTCTGTCTTGAACGCCACTCCTGGTGGTGCATCACATGATCAGCAGCCACCATCACCAAGCGCATGAGCTCCTCCGGGTCAAAAGCATAATTAGTGAATTTGGGGTGCTCTCCGAGTGTGGGGTGATGACCCTGCAAGAAACACGACACAAAAACTCAAAAATGAAAAATGTTTCGTTAAAGTGCACTTTAATAATAGAGCTTCATACTCAGGGTGAAGTTTTATGGCTGATGATGATTTCTTTACAGCCAAAATGGCTGATGGCTTTTTAGCACTATGCACATTTTGGAGATTTGGAGACCTCTCTGGTGGAAATGTGTAACTGCATGCAAAAATTCCCCAAGCTGACGAATCTCTTGACTGCAAGTGCATTGAAGGAGTATTCAAAGAGAACTCAATCACAACTTAAAGGATGTGTTTTCTGAGAATGTGAATGAACTGTCTATTATGTAACTATTGCCACAATATATATTAATCAGAATAACACTGATTTTGCGACGTTGGGTGACGTTTATATGAGAACACATACGACATGGTCTGAAAAACTCCAACAAAATCTGACCCGATCTCTTCAACTTTTAAATCATTATTTCAGGCTTTACAGGATGAATTACAGCAGAGCATGCACACTATATTGTAGCATGTAGCACATTTTCAGTACTTTCTATCAGCCAAAATTGCAATAATAAATAACACTATTTGCCCTTTAGCGGGCAAATCTGTCATATACATTCTTAAATCAAGCATAACATGTAGTAGGTGCAAAAGCTATAGCACATTTTATTATATACATAATTTTATTCTTATTTTTTTTTTCTCCCAATATGTTAAACTCAGCAAATAAATAGAAACTTTGCACTAAAAATAGCAGAAAAATGTTGTGGTTAAGTGTGTTTTCTGTAGAGGATGTATTTACTTATTTTCACTTCAACACAACATAATTTGACTGGGTGTTCAAACTTGCATACTTCTGCACATCTGTCTGCAACTGAACTTAATATTAATGAAAACACTGATACCAAACTTTGGTGGTGTACTTAGTAACTAGTAGCACATCGTTGTGTTGTCGCGAGGCGAACGTATGTGTGAGTGACTGTACGTGTGGATTCAGATGTGCAGGTTCTCTGTACCTTATCCTCAGGAAACACTTTGTCCTGTCTCTGCCAGGTCAGGTAGTGAATGCCTCTCAGCCTCGCCAGATCACGATAGCAGCTTTCATCCTGACAGTTATAGCTGAGGAACAGCGAGAGCTTATTATCACCCACCAAACAGACAAGCACAGTGCGATTAACACTCATTCCATCATCATTAACAGGGCTATAAAATGCATCAGGATACATCAGTTTAAAGAAGCTGATCTTCCTTCTTTGATTTTGGACCGTTAGAGCCAATTACAACTCATAGCAACAATATTCAGTACAGTATGAGTTTATTTGTTGGCCAAGACAGAATTCTGGGGTTATTTTCAAGATTAAAAATCCAAAAAAATCAAACAGCAATCTGCTGCCTTTCAGTTACCATGACCCAAAGCTACAACCTCAGTATCTGAGAGCAACTGTCACCATTAGCACTTTTAAAGAGAATCTCACAAAAATGACTCTTTAATACTGCATTTCCACAGAATCAGTGCCATCAGAGTTTTATTTTACTGTCTTCAATTTTTAAGTCAGACTGTTTTTATTTTTCTTTGTATTCTGTTGTTTTTATCCTTCTATATCAGTTATTTTCTTTTGTATTTTACAACTCAATTTGCCTGTTTAAACTTCCTGTAAAGTGCATACATTTTTTAGCATTTTATCATATATATATATATATATATATATATATATATATATATATATATATATATATATATATAACATTATATACATTACATTTTCAAAATAATTGACTAACAAAATGAATAAAGTATGTAAATAAATAAATAACATTTCTGCTTTATTTTTATCAACACTACCAATACTACTTTGTATGTATTTAATAATAATAATAATAATAATTATTATTATTATTATTATTATTATTATTATTATTATTATATTTCTGATAAAATTAGATATAATTCACTTGCATAAGGAAGGTGAAACATTTTAAAACATTAAAAGTTACAGAGAAAACTCCTAATGGACTCCTAACAACCACCTGGAGGACCTGGTAGACACCAAAACTGTCCCCATCAGATAAACAGCACTTAAAGCTTTCATCTTTGATAAAGAAAAATGAATGGAGCTGTAATAAAGGCAAAGAGAGGATGCACTAAATACTTAAAAATGAAAGACATTTTTTAAGACTTTAAGCTTTAGAATGTCCTTTTTTCACTTATTACTTGGACTTTCTCCTACTTTATAAAAGTGGATTATCTTGTATCTAATCTCCTCAGAAACATCAAAAAGGAGTAACTTATTTAAAGGCCATTTGAGCAGAAATGAAAGGGTGAAAGGGTGAAAGCACTGTCTGTATCACGTACAGTTCGAATATGACGGCCCAGTCGGGGAGGAAGAGCAGGTGAGTGAGTCCGGCTCCATGCATCCCAATGAAGATGTCCGAGTTATGGGTCACTCTGATCTGCTCCAAAAACGGCATATCTCTGCACCGCACACACACAAACATACACACAGACACACACACACACACAGCTGTCAGTCAGCGGTGGGCTCAGTGTCAGCCATGGGCTCGGCTCCATTTCCACTGTGAAAACATTCTGATGAAAAAGCATGAAGACTCTGTCACTCACTTGTACTTGTAATCCACCAGCTTGACCTCAAATAAAGTCACGGTCTTCAGAGCGTTTATCAGCTGCACACACACACACACACACACACACACACAGCAGGGTTCAGCAGGTGATTAATGAGCACTCACGCTCTTATGGACAGAAGCCAAACTAAATCAGGGCCTTTACCAGACTGGAGACCCCGCACAAATAAGAGTTTAACTCACAGATGAAGAATGAGAGTGACACATCGATCACACAGAGAGAGAGAGAGAGAGAGAGAGAGAAACAGAAAGAGAGAGAGAGAGAGAGAGAGAGAGAGAAACAGAGGGGGTGAGAAAAAGAGAGAGAGAAACAGAAACAGAGAAAGAGAGAGAAACAGAGGGGGGTGAGAAAAAGAGAGAGAGAAACAGAGGGGGGTGAGAAAAAGAGAGAGAGAAACAAAGAGAGAGAGAGAAAGAGAGAGAAACAGAAAGAGAGAGAACCAGAAAGAGAGAGAGAGACAGAGATACAAAGGGCAAGTTTAAACAGAAGGTAGTTAAGTGAAAGTAAGTGAAAGGAAAAAAGTGGGAAAACAGAGACAAAAGGAGAGTGAAAGTAAGAGCAAAGGGGGACAGAGAGAGAGAAAAAAAAACTGGGAGAAAAGGTCAGAGCAAAACAGGGAGACAGAGAAAGAGAAGGAGGAAAAAAGCAGAGTGAGAAAAAGGAGAGTGCACAAGTAGAGAAAGATAAAGAGAGAGATGATTCATAATAGAAAAAAGGGAGAGGGAGTAATAAAAAGAGAAAGGAAGAGAGAAAAAAGAGGAAAGAAGAGTAAATGGGGAGAGAGGGAGAGAGAGAGAGAGAGATGGTGAAAGTGTGTGTGTTCTGACCTCCTGCTGGTTTAATATCCTGCGGTACTCTGTACTCCGGGCCAGCAGAGTCACCCTGATCCGTCCATCCTGCAACACAAGATCGTCACGCAGACCACTGTTTAATACATCCTGTTCAATTTACTATCACTGAACTCATTTCTGTTACTCTATTATCTCAAACATTGTTTTTACACACTGTCTCTGTATTTCTAATCTAAATCACTAGAGTTCTAGAGTTATCTGTCATATTTTGTTTTACAATTTACATAATAAGTATATACATAATTATAATTACACACAAGCATAGTCATATGGAAAACCCCAGCCATGTTACGTGTGTTGTTGATTTTCTGCGTGTTGTTGATTTTCTAAGTAAACACATCCTCTACAGAGAACACACATAAATGACACTTTCTGCAAGCCCTTTTCTATGTTTTCTTTGCTGAGTTTAACATACTAAGAAAATAAAACATAAAATATGCCATAACTTTTCCACATCATATGTTTCATCTTTCTTTCCAATAGTCCAAATAGTATAAAAATATATTTTTTTGGTTTGTTTTGATGTCAACAATGACAAAAGCATAGCAAAACTGTAAAAGATGGTGTTTCTTTGCACAAAATAAGACTGTAGATAAAACAATAACTTTTCATCAAATGCAAATCATAATAGAATATCACCTCTTCTACTTACAAACACAAATGTTGTGTGTATTGACTGTTTAGACGCAATCTGTTGATGGTAACTCTAGTAGTGCCTGTAGTGTTTCTCTTCTCAACATTGGCCTGATATCACTCTTTCTGAGCCCAGGAAAGTGAACAGATGCATCACTTTATACACCATTAGCTTATCCAACATCGCCACCTAGTGGCCAGTTTTGACAGGTGTGATATTACAAAATTAAATGATTAAAAGGCATTTTATGTTAAGCATTTTATATTAATGTATATATATATATATATATATATATATATATATATATATATATATATATATATGTCTGGAACAATTGATTTCAATAATATAAAGGCAGTTTTGCTGCAGATACTGTAAAACAAATCTATTATGGTGCTAGTACTCCATAAAACAAACTAATTAGTAGGAAGCTGTAAAAACAAAAGGACAAAATGTTAATGTCTAGAATGATGATGTAGATGATTCTGAAATGACTGAGAACCTGTAGAATGAAGTTATAATGAAATGAACATCCAGGATGCCTTGTGTACCTCAGGCAGATAATTTATCAAGAAATTATTGTAAGTATATAATGCCTGTATGTTATTTATCCTTTAATAACATCTTGGTGTTCCCAGAAAATACTGAACACAACATGCTGAAGTTTTGTCTAGCTTATGCTATTTCAATCTACAAACCTCAATTCCAAAATAAAAATGGGGAAGTATGTGAAATGCAAATAAAAACAAAATGCAGTGATTTGTAAATCCACTTTGTCCTGTATTTAAACGAAAGTCCTGTATTTAAACAAAGACAAGATATTTCATTTTTTATCTTATCAAATTCATTGCATTTTACACTCATTCTGAAACTGACGCCTGAAACATGCTCCAAATATATTGGGATGGGGCAATTTTAGGACTAGGAACATTATGACGTGCTCAAAAACATCTTAAACAGGAGATGTAATTACACTTGAGAATAAAAGGATCATCCATGAAAGGTTTACAGGCAAGGATGGGCTGAGACTCGCACTATAGCCATGAAATGTGTCATCTGATAATCCAACAGTTTAAGAACAATGGGCCTCCTTCAGCAGTGTCTTCCAGAGTTTTTTTTTTTCTTAAATTTGTTCTTGAGAAAAAGTCTACAACAGATTTATGACGTGGTCTTAAACCACAGAATTGTTCACACCTTTGCGGGTGCTTAGATTCTGTTCTTACCTAAGAAAAAATCCCAAATAAGAAAACATTGGTGAATATCAGAATCTTTGAGAAAACTGTCAGTGAGTTTTAAGAAGAAATTTCTTCATAAGAACAGTTGGTGAACGATGCTTATTGTTCCCTATGAAGGATTTTAGGTATTTCACCCTCTACAGTGTATCCAGATAAATTTGTGGACAAGGTCGAAAACCTGGACAAGCATTAAAACCTGCCGTGCTTCTATGATGGATATCACCACATGGGCTTGGGAATAATTTGACTAATTATTATCAATAAACACAGTTTGGTTCAAAGAAAAGGAAAGAATCCTGGTCGTTACCAGTATAAAGTTCAAAATCCAGCGTTTATCGTGGAATGGAGGGAAGTGTATTACTGGGTAACTTGCTCATCTGCGAAAGCACCATTAACACATTTTGGAGCAACATATGCAGCCTTTAAGGCGCCGTCTTCTTCAGGGACGTCCATGCTTATTTCAGCATGACAACACAAAGCCACATTCTGCACGTGTTACAACAGTACGGCCGCAGAATCAGAGCGTGCAGGTGCTAGACAGGCCTGCCTGCGGTCTCACTTTGAAAAAGTGTTGTGCATTATGAAGTGTTAAATATAAGCAAGGGCCTTATACAGTTACAGTAAGACCTGTATAACAAAAGAATGACACAAAATTCCACATTCAAAACTGGCTCAGATTGTGTCTTCAGTCCTCAGACGATTATTAAAGTAAAATTATAAAAAAAATGATTACTGACAAGTAACTCCAAACTTTTGAACACTAGTATATACGTGTATATGCATGTGTGAGCATGTGTGTGTGCTGCGAGGTGAGTCAGTGTGAGTGATGAGAGATGCAGCTGGTCGAGCAGGAAGAGCTAAGCATGCCCACACACTCCTACACACCTCACAATAAATGTGTTCAGCAGCTGTTGTGCAAACCAAAGCAGCAGAAGCCTGAAGAACTACATGCAGTTACTGCAACTAGAGATTACCACTTTTTTCAATATCAAAGCTGATAATGAAATCTTGAGTATCGGCCAATTCTGATACTGATCAGACATCTCTTCATTAAAAATCACTAAGCTTTAAAGTCCTAGGGAGCACAGTAAAACAGTAAACAATGTTTGTGGGCTTTTATGTGACCGTAACTGGACAAAAAAAAGGCACAGATGAACAAATGTGCAGATGGACGGACAGACGAACAAACATCGAGACCAAGCCACACATGAATGAAGGAACAGCAACGTTGGTGTGTGGACAAACGAATGTATGGCTGACAGCCAGTTACAGTCAGGTGGTCTAGCTCGATAGCCTTTGGCTATGCTGGGTTAGCTTTAGCTCGCTAAGTTTCTCTGACCGTTTTGTGTAGGCGGGGCAAGAGACGTCAGCCTTGTGACTGGTCAGAGGAATGCTAATAGTAATTATATTTTCCTCAAATGTGAATGGTGCTTTAGTAAGTTTGTATTTTTAGCTGCTTGCTTAAATAAGATGTTAGTTAGATTTACTTGCAGCACATCCAGTCAGAGGAACACTATTTTACACATACTTTATCACTTCTTCGTGAGGCCATCGTGATATCAGCTTTATCGAACATCGCATTTTATATCCATATTCATTTATGTCCACATGTAATTTTCACCATAACTTCAACTTTATCTGTAAAAACTACAAGAGCAGAAAGACCGCCTTTTGAGAATACTGAGAATGAGTTTAGGGTTAGCTTTAGGTGTAGTAGGTGTAGTATTACTCAGAGGTCAATGGAAGTCCTCACAAATCATCATATGCAAAAGTTTGGGTGCCCCCGTCAAATGACATGTTTTGTGGATTTTCTAAGTGAAGTTAATACATCATCTACAAAGACCACATTTTAATGCACAATTACTGTTTATTTGCTAATTTAATATATTGAGGTGAAAAAAAAAAATTAAAATATGGCCTGTGCAAAACTTATGGCACATTTCATACATATTTATATTACATTATATATTATATTCGTTTTTTTCCCAATATGCAACCAAAAGAAAATTGTGCACTAAAATTTGCATATTAACCCTTACAAGTCTGGAGTTTTTTGTGTAATTTTGTGTTACATTCAATTTATGTTTTTTATTTATTTAAATGGTTTTATTTTTTTCCAGTATGTTAAACTCAGCAAAGGAACAGAAATTGTGCGCTACAAATTGCAAAAAAACAGAAGTTTTAACTGTGTTCTCTGTAAAGGAAGGGTGTTCAAACTTTTGCATGGCATGTGGGCGTGTATGTTACCTTGGGTCTCTCCTGTGTGATGTTGAGTCGATGAAGGACATGCTGAGAGAACGCTCTGAACATCCCCTCACTGCGGCAGTTTGAAATCTGTCAATCACACACACGCACACACACACATACGTGTCAGTGTAATCGCCCTCCCACACACACACTTCAAACACCAAGTCATTTGCAGATGTGAGTCAGACTCTGACAGTCATGAATATAAAGATGCTCTCAGTGACAGAGACAGATGTGTCAGGACACTTCACACACACATACACACACGCCACGGTGGTCCCTGCCATCACACACACACAGGACACACACACGTGTATTTCACACTTCAAGGCCCCAGATAACGATACATCAACACAACACACGGCAAAAAACCTGTATATATACAGAGCACAGGCAGGAGAGGGCAAAAGATGAGCGGATTTGAAAGCACTTACAGGATTTTAATACATATAAAATAGCAGAACGGCAGCACTCGGCAGGATTTGCAATTCAGAAGTTCAAGGTGTTATTGTGACATCAAACCAGAGAAGAGATGAGATCTTTTTTCTTTTTTTGGCCTCTTTTCAATGACATCCCTCTGAAACCACGTTTCTTTTTGTATTTAACGGTCCGCTCACCAGGGGGGTGTTGTAGAAGAGGCCGTATCTCATCCTCGGCAGCAGAGAGAAAAAGGCGTCCCTGAAACACACCTTTAGAAAAAAGGAAGAAAAAAATACACTTCTATTACAATGACTGCAACTTCTGTGATTAACATACACTGTAATTTAGAACAGAGACTTAGTGATATCAATGTAAATTATAAATGAAATAAATAGCTAGATATCTCAAAAGTAACAGTAGTAACAGACAGATAGATGAATCAATAGAAAGGCAGCAAATATATCAATGCATGTTATGCATGAATATGAATACTGTGCACAAGTCAGAGACCACCATTTCATTTACTTAATTTCCAGTCAAAATGGTCATTAAGCTAAAAAAAAATCAGGAAGCATATTTGGCAGAAAACGACTCAAAATTCCTCCAAATCGAAGTATAACATCAAATCTATCAGTAATTTGTTCACATTTCACTACTGCCACTTTAACTCTACTAACTCTACTGCCCTCCCAAATTTAAAACCAACCAGCTACAGATCTCACTGACTGATCCCCTCCAAATAGACACTAACATTCACACAGCCAACTACCCAGACTCACCTCAGCTGCCTTTCAAATCTCTTTCTCATGTTCATCTAAAAAGGCTAGAAATGATATTTCTTAGGAGTTTAGATGTAAGATAATTCACTTATCTAAGGAAGGAGAAAGTTAAAGGACAAAAACTGAAGATACAGAGAAAATGGAACTCCTAACATCCGTGGAAGACCTGGCAGACCACCGAAACGGCATCAAATAAACAGTATTTCCACTGTCTACCCTTCCATTAGGAAGACAACTCAGCGGTATGGGTCTAAAAGGATTTGTAGCTGTGAAGAAGCCCTCACTGAGAAAAGAAGACAGACAAAAGGACAAAAGCTGTTCTTGAACTCCGAAACTGGACGGCTGAGACGCAGAGTCAGTTTTTATGGACTGTAATTGGGATTTCTTGGATGGTGAGAAGCAGAAAATACAACCAGCTTCTAAGACTGAACTTTGGAGGTGTGAAAAAATATTTCGGCAGATTTCTAAAACTGAAAGTGAGTCTCCTGAAAAGAATGAAAGCTGTAATAAAGGTAAAAAGTGAACAATACATACAAAAAAATGATATTGTATTTAGTTGTTGAAGCTTCTGTATAATTTTCTGTAAAATATGTTTTCTGCTTTTTTCCCTGATGCTGAAAAATGAATAACTTAATTTATTTAACAGCTGTTTTGACTGGAAATGAAAAAAATGAAGAGCGGTCTCTGACTGTTGTACAAACTTAAAAAAGATGGTTCTTCAAGGGTTCTTTAGTGAAGAAAATGGTTCTATTTAGAACCATAAACACTCAATAGAACACTGCGTGATTAAAACGTTCTCTGCATTGTTAAAGCGTTCTTCAGATTGATGGAGAAATGTGCTGTAAATGATTCTAAACAGAACCAAAAAAAGGATTATTCTATTGTAACCATCCTGACATCATAAAAATAGAAGAACCCTTTTTGGTGGTATTTGTGTACAGTACTGTAGATAGATATTTTATAGATTTTCTAAGTGAGAATAAGTGAACACATCCTCTGAGAACACACTTCCGCACATTTTAATGCTCAATTACTATTTATTTGCTGAATTTAACATCATAGGTAAAAAATAAAACATAATGTGCAAACCCTACGCCTCATTTTATATGTTATGCTTTATTATTTCCAATATGTTAAACTCAGCAAATAAATAAATGCCATAAAATTAGCAGAGAAATGTTCCAAAAAGATAAAAACATCACAATGTTCCTTGTAAAGAGAACTTTTGCTCACTTAAACTGAGGGTTCAAACTTTTGCATATGACTGTAGATGAACAGTGGAAAAAAGCTCACTCTTTTTGAGTCGTAGGTTTTCAGGTGTATGACGTCGTAATCCGAAAAGGCTCTCCAGGTTTCGCTGAACAGGTCTCCATAGCCATACAAACTCTAAAACACAGCCAAGAGCGTGGGTTAGGCTATTTCCCCAAAGCTTTACCAAAAAGGCATAAGATTAGTCTGTAGCAATGGAAGCAGAGTGAGTGGAGTTTCCACAGTGTGCATTTAATTGTACTGTTTTTCACCGTAGCACAAAACCGGAGTCATTTAACTTCCAGAAAGCACATTAAACTTAATATGACTATCACAACAGACCAGTTAGGCTTAACTTGAGTACTGGAAAACGCAATCAGCAACCATGTGCTGCTGTACATCTGTAGGCACATGTACAGCAGCACATGTGTTCTGAAAGTTTTATTAGGAACAGAGGTCCAGACAGGCTGTTTAGTCAGAAGGAAAAAGTCTCCCTCACACATTCATTCTTCCCTCTCTTCCTCCGCCAGGAAACACAGAACAAGGACAAACGACCTAGATAAGCTTTCTCCATAAATCATTGTGGTTTTGGCACCTCAATCTTTTCAGCAGGCCTGGACAAGGCTGAGCTCCGTCCGCTCTGCTGGAGACGAGGTGCTCAGACTCAGCATGAAGGGCAAGCCAAACACTCAGGCTTTCTTTGATTTTTATCCAAATAAGAACCACTAGAAGCCTGATGAATGACGGGAGCCCGTGTTCTAACACGGTCGTCCCAGAGCCAGTGCTCAGCCAGCAGCTTCATTATAGCACGGCCTGGCAGCTTCAGACAGACTGATCTCATCACTCTGTGAGCGACGCCTGAGCCAGCACAAACAGCTCCAGTAAAAGGCAACTGCGTGTGCATGCGTGAGTGTAGAAGGGCCTGATATCTCTATTTGGGACATTAAAGTTTGACTTATCATCAGCAAAAATCTAATACTAGCACTAATATGTCTTTGTAGTATGTGGTATGCATTGCTATATAGTATACAGTATGCACTGTTGTGTAGTGTGATGTATGCATCTGTAGTATTCATTATTAGGTAGTATGGAGTATGCATTGCTATATAGTATGTAGTATGCATTGTTGCGTAATCCGATGTAGGCATTTGTAGCGTGCATTATTATGTATGTAGTGTGCATTAATATATAGTATGTAGGTTGCATTGCTATATAGTATATAGCATGCATTGTTGTGTAGTGTGATGGATGCATCTGTAGTATGCATTGTTGTGTAGTGTGAAGTATGCATGTAGTATACATTGCTATATCGTATGCATTGGTGTGTAGTACGATGTATGCATCTGTAGTATGCATTATTATGTAGTATGTAGCGTGCATTGTTATGTGGTATATAGTATGTATTAGTGTGTAATGTGATGTATGCATCTGTAGTATGCATTATTCAGTATGTAGTGTGCATTGCTATATAGTATATAGTATGCATTGTTGTTTAGTGTGTAGTATTCATTATTATGTAGTATTAAGTATGCAGTGAAGTGTAGTATGTTGTGTGCATTTGTACTATGTATTTTTCAGTTTAGTATGTACTGCATTTGTAGTATGTAGTATGCTTTATGGTATGTCATATGCATTACTATGAAGTATGAAGTAGCATTTACAGTAAGTGTATGCCTTTTTGCTTAATATCTGTTTATATACGCTGTAGTGTGCACTGTGTAGAATGTAGTATGCACTGTTGTGTAGTATACAGTATGCGATTTTCGTATCCAGTATTAATGTAGCATTTCTCATATGTATTATGCACAGTCATGAAACATGCAGTATGCATTTTTAGTATACAGTATGCATTTTTAGTATAATAGTATAGTACATGGATATGCAGTATGCAGTGATGTGTAGTATGTTGTGTGCATTTGTAGTATGTATTTATAGTATGCATTGTAGCATGTAGGATACATTGCTGTGGGGTATGTAGTATGCACGTATATAGTGTGTTTAAGTTTGGACCCTTTTACATTAAACATTGTTTTCTGTATCAGTGACAAAGAAATGATCAGTCTAGTGTGTCTAGTTTGATTTCATCCCTAGTGTTGGTTTGTCTCTCTCTGTCTGTGTGCGTGTGCATGTATGCTTGTAATATACCGTGTCCCACATGACGATATTGATGTCTCTACTGAAGGAGTTGTTGAGGTGCTGGGAGATGTACAGATTGACAAAGTCGCAGAAATGATGGTACATATTCACTCCTGCAAAGCAAGGTCAGAATCAAATTTGAATTCACCTCCAGACATGCACTTAAATATTCAGTCACAGTTTATTTTGATGATCTGGTGCAGCTTATCTACGAAAGCTCAAATTGCGTGGTTAATGATTATCAACAGCACTGTGAGTGGGGTTAGGTTCAGGGTTGAACCTGTTGAACCTTAAGTTGTGGTTAAAGTGAGGTAGGTGTACAGTTAGTTAAAAGGGTAGTCTGGCCTAAAACCAGCATGTAATGTTATTTGTCATGTCGTAATACTCTGTAATGCACCATTGCTTCCCTCAACCTCATCAGTTTGACAGAATTCACAATTTCATATCCTTTTTTGTCCACCACTATTTTTTCATTATACCCAGAACGCATTATTATGTGATGTTGGACCTCCTAGCAGTAGCGTAAGCTCTCTGGCATCCTTCTGCATTAGCCAGCTAAAATAAATATTCAAAACAGTCCTGTAATGTATCCTGTCCAAAGGACCTGTAGTTCATCAAAACCTTCAGGATACATCATCAGAAGGGGGTTTTCCGAATCTTTAAACCCAGAAAATGTAACTCTGGACAAGGAGTTGAGTAGGCAGACGTAGCAACGGTTACATTTTTCATTCTGGCCGAAATGACTCTTTACGCTGAATTTATTATCTAGATAATTTAGCTCATATTGAGACATTTACACATTTAGTTAAATATCACTTAATCAACTGAATCTAGCTTCTGCATTTGTAGCATACGGTCGATCAACACTGACAATAAGTATGTTTACATGCACTAAATAATCCGATCATAATCAGATTTCTGCTGTTATCTGATTATTCAAATGGTCATGTGAACACCATACTCTGATCTAGAAATCCGATTAAGAAATCCAATAAAGAGAGCTGGATTTTAGCAGCGAAACACTTTTGGAGCGACACTGAAACCAGCTACATTTAAGGAAAGATTTAAATATTCTTCATCTTCTAGATGATGTTTGTTCATATTTTCAGGTAAAAGGGCTCGATGTTTAAAAAAAAGCCGCAGCATGAAGTTTGAGTTTTACGCTAAGTTTATGTCACGTCTTCTTCTGTGAGTTTATTGGCTGGTTGCAAAGCAGAAATCTGATTACTGTCTGACTCACATAAACTCTGAGTTTTCATATTATCTGATTACTCAAGTGCATGTAAACGCGCTGATCGGATTACTGACAAAATCTGATTTTCTGCAGTTATCGCATTATTAAGTGCATGTAAACGCACTCATTGATGTATTTGCCAAAACTTAGAAAAGAGCATTGGACAATTTTTTGTCTACAAAGTAATTATTGGTCACATTTAACTGCATTCTTGTCAACAAATAAGTCTCAGTACAATTTACACTAATATTTATTTTCAGTTGGACGTTCTGATAGTACAGTCTGAATATGGCAAAGCAGCGTTTAGTTAACAGCGCTCCACCTGCATGGAATGATCTGCAGAAAATTTGAAACTGAAGCAACTCATCTCCTTGACTGATTTTACGATAACTGTTAAAGCACTGTAGGATTATCTCTGTTCTTGTTTTTAATTTGAAATTGTTTCTGACTGTGTTTTTAGCCATAGTGGTGGAATTTTTTGTTGACTGTCCTCTTGGTTGCTGTGTGCAGCCTTTTTGGCTAAGGCTCACTTGCAAAAAAGAGATTTTTAATCTCAATTTGATTACTCTGGTTAAATAAAGGTAAAATAAAATAAAACAGAAGATATTTTGATTCAAACACTTCCATGAACTCTTAAGAAAAAGGTAAAGAGATAGATTCTTTAAAGTAAAGTGAGCATCTATAAAGTACACACAGTGGACCATCAACATAAAGTGCTCAATATACTGATCATGGCAAGTCAGCAGGGCCATCACTGTGTTTGACGAGCTATCAAATATGTCAAACCTGCGTCCAGCTTCATGAAGACAGTGGGTCTCTCGATGATGATGTCACAGTGGCCATCGTCTATGGGGTGGAAGTCGAGCTCAGTGTACGTCTGCAGCTCTGCAAACCTGCAGGAGACAGACCAGCATCGATACTGTTGCCTGTCTATATAGTCATAACCACCAGAGGGGTGAACCCTTACAAGACACAATGACCACCACAGTCAGTGTGCAGATTCTAAATCTCTAATCCAGACCACATTTGTACTGAAGGGGAAGAAAAGGCTAAATTTGATAAAAAGTTACTGTTGTGCGTGTAGTCTTATTCTTTTGGGGTTTTTTCCATTTTTCTGTCACAGAAAATTTAACTCTACTCACTCATAGCTCGACTCTAAGAGTGAGTACAGTAACAATCTTGGTGGATCGTCTTGGACACTGTGCTCCACTCACCAGGACTGCAGGGGGCTCTTGTGCTGTCCTTCTGCTTCCAGCGCTTGGCTGTTCAGTCTGCAGCGGCCCCCTATCTCCCCCTGCTGCAGGAAATCCTCCTTATACCTACAAGGAGAGAGGGAGAGATACAGAATTCCAAATTCCCTACAGATAACCTGGATTGAAAGGTGATGTGGATGGGGACACAATTATTACTGTCAGACTGTAAAACTACACACACTGCAGATTCACACTGGATTAAAATCGCTCCACAATTATTACTGTCAGACTGTAAAACTACACACACTGCAGATTCATACTGGATTAAAATCACTCCACAATTATTACTGTCAGATTCATACTGCAGTACTGGACTTTTCTGCCTTTCTTGTCAGGGTTCACTGACCTCTCATGACCTCTGCGGGGTTTCCGCAGGTCCAGGTAGAGATTGGTAGCTCTACAGAAACGCAAGTGGCTCGTACACTTCAGGGAAGACTCCCCCTTAAAAAGACACAGAGCAGACAGTTACTTTCCACTCAGTCTAGCAGCTTCATCCATGGGCCTGTTCGTAAATAAGGATGGGCAACATGGCAAAAATATCATAACATTTGTCAATATTTTTCAAAGGTTCACGAATAACTTCTAATAAACAAAACGCACCAGTAAAACAACATAAGTGCTACGTATTTAAAAGCCTATACAAATAAAAAAGCACAATCACTTTTTAAAAGGAATAGAAGGAAAAATCAAACAATTTGAAAGCATAAATTAATAAAATTAGGTACTTACTACTAACAGTTGATGATTGCCATTTACTGGCTTTTTTTTCATTATCACTTTGGTTTATAATACAGAATACGGAAGGCTCTTCTGAATCAAGAAGGTCAGCAGTAAGCCAAGGAATCACAGAAACACGGAGAGAAGAGAAGAGAAGAGAAGAGAAGAGAAGAGCTTACAGGAGTCAAAGGCCTGCAGAGAGTCTTCATCTCACTCAATCTCTCTCTCACGTAGCCAAAGTCAGCCTGCTTCCAGAAGAGCTCCTGAGCCGCCTGCACTGAGCTCGCCCTGCGAAACACAAACACCCGCAGAGAGATGGGCATGAGTGGTTTAACACTGGATGGAGACATGAAAGACCAAGACCTTCAGTCCGACTAGACTAAATTCTTCAAAAAACTTTCAACCCATATGAGCTTAATTTAGTAAATAAACTGTTCTGACTTACCACCAGTTCACTGTTCCTCACTTTGTCAAAATCATTCAGTGGCAAATCTTTTTTTAACCCAATTTTGCCCTCCGAATTAGTCGAGGGTAATTCCCTGGCTAGGTCTCCCCCAAATGCATGTTGCTACCAAGCAGGCAGAGTGAAAACTAGCACATGCTTCCTTCAAGACACTTTTCAAATCGCTCCTAATGCAGTGACACTGGACAGCTCAACACGCTTGGAGGAGAACACTAACTACCAATTCTGTTACATTAACTAAGCGACACCTGCTTTGGCCAACATCACTGTGGGCAAAGAGAGCAGATCAACCTACCCACCCAGAGAGAGCGAGCAAAATTATGTTCCTGGGCTCCTGGCCACGGCTGTGGCATCACCAGAGACCAAACAACACTTAGCTGGTTGCACCACCAGAGTCAAAGTTTGGCAGAAATTATTTCCCCAATAAATATAAAAACAGACAAGTGTACATCTAAAAGCTAACAAGAGGAGCAGATCTTAAAGCCTGAATTCACACATAACATCTTATACAGTGTCTGAAATCACATCAGCAAAACTGTTTGAGATTACTTATCAACTCTGAGGCAAGTGAGTGATGAGGCATGCAGTTAGCACGATGCTAGCTGGTGCACTTCTGCTCCTTGTTAAGTACATTAGACTTATAGCTCCAGTGCAAAACTAAAGAAGCAAATGTCAGACACCAAACACATCTTAGCTGATGGTCCACATTTTGAGGTAAGGAGGGAAGTTTCTAAACTTGACCTTCTCCAATCTGTCACTTTAATAGACGTCTTACCATCCTGAGTCCACGCTGGTGCAGACGGGGAAGCTGAACCTGTGATCCGGGGAGCAGTTTTGTTCATAACCCCAACACGACTCCTTCAGCGACAGAGCATCCTGCCACACACAACACAGCAAAGATGAGGGAGAAACACCATGAATGAAAAGACTGTGATTGTACTTTGTTACTAAACTTCAAAACTCTAAACAAAAATTTAACCAACACCACAAAATTGTCTACCTGCCTCCTACAGTGGTGTCACAGTACAGTGAGATATTTCGGTTTAAAGACTATGAAAACCCTCTACTGATGATGTTTCTTGAAGTTGGGAGGAACTTTTTAAAAATTGCTTTAGGATGGATTTTTGTGGGCTGTTTTAATTTTTTTTTTTTGGCAGCCAAATAACTGAAGTAACTGTCTTCAGGCATTCTTCTATTGGATTATGTGTTTAATAGAGAATTAAGCTATTTTTGACGACTGAGGTGAGAGTCACACTAACACTAGCTTGGTTGTAGTTATTAACCTATAGATCAGTGGCTAGGCTAGCAGTCAGGATTGCTTGACACCACAGAGATTCCCAGTGGTCATATAATATATTTGCATGATTAACGCTGAGCACTGTCGTGAGAGAACACTGATGAACAAAAAGTTAAAAAAACAATATAAAACTGTTCATTGTGATCAACTGTGATCATACTTTTATCAAAATTTCTACATACATCAATGATGAGAAACAAAATACAGAGTCATTCCGAGTGGTTTGATGTGAAATGGTTCACTATAGAGAAAATCACCTTGGACTAATTTACAGTGGTTGTGATAGGAACCAGGGGGTGTGATGTCTACCACACAAGCCCCTAATGAGCTCTTAATGTAACTCTTATATTAGCTCTTAATAACTATAAAGTAGGGCTGGGCAATACAACAATACTTATGGTTATCATAATAAATTATCTCACAGTACAGCACACTTTTCTGAACATATTGTGTATATTGTCAGTACTTGTATAAAACTGACCAACAGTAAATAAAATGAGCAAAATTAGAACTGTTTAACTGGATTTGGTGCAATACATTACGCCAAATATTGAAAAAAAATCACTGCATTCACAGTTTTTAACTGTATTTTTTAAATGTAGTGGTACTACTGGTTCTTTTTCTCTGTTTCAACTCATCAGTTGTCTGAATAAAATAAATGACATACCGTGAAGTGAAAATTTCTTGAAGTATCACAATATGAGAATCTGTCCACCTCTACTATAAAGCCTTTATTACCATATGGCTATGACCAAATATCATAGTGTCTCTCCCTGATGAAGACTCTCTCATGCTGAAGCACATTTAGAGATTTTTGTTTGCAGCCATGTGACCATAAAGGCTGTATAGTTCTATACAGGGTCCCAAGGAGATTTAACCTTTTCTCATGTTTTTTGTGTAATGTACAACAGAGGTAAATTGGAAAAATCTGTTCTTTTGGGGGTCTAAGAACAACCTGCATGTACCTCTCCTCTCAGAATTTAAGCAAATCTCAAAATTATCATAAAGCAATGACAACTTATTCATATCCATTTCACATAATACTTTCTGTGAGGGAGTTTTATTGGCATTAAGCTCTTCAGACGTCTGGTTCCCATCACCACCACTGTGAACAATTCTGACTTCGCTACAACAGAACAATTCACATCAAACCACTCTAATTGACTTTGTTTACAGAATTACCTTAGAATTATGCAGAAATTTGAAAAATAAGTGAAGTTCCCCTTTATCTATAGCTTTCCTGTACTTATTCCACCCTTGAAAAACACGAGCACATCAGGACAAGAGAGTAACAAATAAATGCCTCTGGTTTACTGCAGGTCTGCTGTGGGACAAATAAGACAAAATTCCTTTAAATTACTATTTAAGTAACATTGTTTAAATGACCGTTTATGTGACATTGTTTTGTCTGCAAACAAAGTGAGGATGAAAGTTACTGTTCAAGGTGACTTTCAGTGAAACTCTACTCCACCTGGACCTCGTGAGAGTCTGGAAAACCCGGTCAGAAAGTTCCTCACTCAGCGAAAGCTCTGACAGAAACAAACACACTTACTCTGAACGGGCAGAGCGGGTCCTCTCTGCAGACTTTAGCCACGCGGCGGTTGTTGTGGAGAAAGTAGGGAAGGTGCAGAGGGTGCAGGGAGAGAGAGCTGTAGTTAAGCAGCGGCTGTGGACGGTGAGCAGAGACCGCAGAGCAAATCCACACCATACAGACCGTCAACAGCACGGCCAACAGAGGCATAGTCCACAAACAGGCCTGTGAGAGAGAGACAGCAGTCTACAGAGAGAGAGAGAGAGAGAGAGAGAGAGAGAGAGAGAGAGAGAGAGAGATAGAGAGAGAGGCAGAGCGGGGGGGAAGAGAACAAAAGAAAGACAAGAGAGAGAGATAAGAGGTAAAGAAAAAGAGATGATAAAGTAGAGAAAGGCAAAGAGAGATAAAGAGAGAAAAATAGAGTTAGGGAGAAAGAAAAAAGACAGAAAGGTAGAAAAAATATAGCAAGAGAGAAAGAGAGAGGAAGCAAGAGAGAGCGAGGGAGAGAGAGAGAGCAAGAGGAAGGGGAAAAATAAAGGGGGAGACAAAAAAGTAAGAAAAGAGAAGGGGGAAAAACAGAATGAGTGAGAGGGATAGAGAAAGTGAGAAAAAGACAGAGACAGAGAGAGAGAGAGAGAGAGAGAGAGAAAGAAAAAAAAGAGTACAAAAAAGACAGAGAAACAGAGAGGTAAGAGGCAAAGAAAAAAGAGAACCAAAAGAGAGATAAAAGTGGAGACAAAAGTGAGAAAGACAAAGAGAACGAAAGAGAGAAAAATACAGTTAGGGAGAAAGAAGGAAAGACAGAAAGGTGGAAAAAAGTTAGCAAGAGAGAAAGAGAGAGGGAGCAAGAGAGAGAGAGAGAGAATGGGGGTAAGTGGGGAAGAAAGAAGTAAAAAAAAGAGAAGAGGGGAAAAAACAGAATGAGAGAGAGAAAGTGAGAAAGAGAAAGAAAAAGAGAGAACAAAGGAAAGAAAGAAAAAGAGAGATAACAGGTAAAAAGCAAACAAAAGAAAGACAAAGAGAAAGAAAGAGAAAAAGATATGATAAAAGAGAAAGAAAGAGAGAAATAGAGTTAGGGAGAAAGAAGGAAAGACAGAAAGGTGAAAAATATATCGAGAGAGAGAGAGGGGGGGGAAAATAAGGCAGGGGAGAGAAAGAAGTAAGAAAAGAGGGGAAAACAGAGAATGAAAGAGATGTAGAGACAGAGAAAAGTGAGAGAGAAAGACAGAGAAAGGAGAAAGGTAGAGAAATAGAGAAACAGATAGAGAGAGAGAAATAAATTGAGAAAGATAGAGAGAGGAAGGTAGAGGGGGTGAGAGTGAAAGAGAAAAAAAGAAAGAGAAAAGGAGAAATGCAGAGAGTGAAGAGAAAGAGAGAGGGAAAGGCAGAAAGAAAGGAGAGAGAGAGATGGAGAGACACAGAGAAAGAGAGTGAAAGAAACGGAGTGAGAAAACTGGTGTTTTTTAGCCAGCAACACAAACTATTGAGCCCATATTCAGATGAAAAGTGCTGCACTGTATTCACACACCTGCTCAAAGCCCCAGAGCTCACAGTGAACCGTAAAACACTGTGAAGGTTAATAAAAAAGACGGATATATCTGTATACTCAACCTCTTAAAAGAGCAGGAGAGATAAGACCAGGACAGAGAGAGAGAGAGAGAGAGAGAGAGAGAGACAGAGAGAGAGAGAGAATATGAATAAGAACATGAGAGTGTGAGCAGGTCAGAGACACAGAGAAACAAAATAACAACAGTTGAAGGACAAACAGAGAGAACATGAGGAGGTTAGACAGATAGAGAGAATGACAGAATATGAACAGGTCAGAGCAAGTGAAGACCTGTCCAGCTACGGTCCAAGTCTTGAGAGACCGGCCAGCGGCCACACCGTGGGAACTGCGTCTAAACGGATCTCAACGACAGAGCTTCCAGAACAGGAAATATTAGTGACCTTTTTCCTACCATTGTTTAAGCATTCGGGGCTGGAATATGGGAAATTAGCATCAAAACAAGCTCAAGACCTCTAAACCAGTGAGAGCTGGTGAGGAAATATATACACATGCATTCCATATCAGGAACAGGACTATCACTGGATTTAGTTTTATACTGAAATGTACTTATGCGACGTAGTGCAATGCACAACATGTTGTGTATAAATTATTATGGCAATATCAGTGTTTGCAACGTCTATACTTCAAAATGAGGGCTTCAACAAATCAATAATGCTGCATTGTGTTTTGAGAGAATCATGACCAAACAAAGATGTTCCATAATCCATAAGCTTCTGTGGACTTTTTGATGAAATAAAAAAATATAAACTAAATAAGCTAAAAATAAAGCACTTTTATTCATCAAAGAGAACAGGTGAAAAAACAAAGTTTCCAAAACTGGAGTTCAAAAAGCAGTTAGAAAATGAGTGCGTACACATGCACTTAATAATCCGATAACTGCAGAAAATCAGATCTTGTCAATAATCCGATCAACGCTTTGCATGCACTTCACATGGGTAATGAAATAATGGGAAAACTCTGAGTTTACATGAATTGGGCAGTAATCAGATTTGTGCTTTGCAACCAGCCAATAAACCCACAGAAGAAGACGCAACGTAAACATAATCATCATTTCACATTTAGCATGTATTTGGTTTCCGAGTTGCTCCACAAGTGCTTTGCTGCGTCTCGCAGCAATGCTGCTTACTTATTTCCGGTACTGCCGTCTGTTTTCGCACATGCGCAGACTGAGAAATCCGAAAGAAATCAGAGTAAGAGGTCGCATGCACTGAGAAATCTGATTACTGAGCTAAAATCCAGCTCTCTTTATCGGATTTCTTAAACGGTTTTCTGGACCTTCTAGACTCCGATCTAAAAAATCAGAGTGTGCTGTTCACATGATCATTTGAATAATCAGATAACTGCAGAAATCTGATTATGATCGGATTACTGAGTGCATGTAAACGCGCTCTATGAGATTACGCAGACTGTACAACCAAATTCTAAGACTGAACTTCGAAGGTGCTCTCTGGCTTTTGCCCAGTATTGCATATATTTAATTTAGTAATATAGCTGCAATAGAGTTCCATCCATATTGTGCAGGCCTGCAAAGGTTTGTGTTAAGCTTTAGGGGTCACCAGCCCTGCTCCAGGAGATCTACCTGGAGTTTAGGAGTTTAATTTCAGCCTGTATTTAATACACCTGGACCAGCTGATCAAAAGAGATTAATCGGCAGGATCTGGTGCAGCAGGTCTGTAGGTAAAAAGATCTCCAGGATCAGTGACCAATACATTCTGCAGTTTCTCTGTGCCTGGAAAATAGTGAGGACTGACCAGTGACCTCACTGAGACTAAATAAGAGGCTAAAAATGTCCTCTTGCTTTTGAGGAGACACTCAGCAGAACCAAAGGAACTCAACAGAGTCTGGCAAAGTTTGGCAAGAAGCAGAGAACGATTAGATCACTGTGTTCTATTTTGGTCTGTCTGGCACGCCAGACTGTAGAATGAGCTCATTACCACAGGAGAACAACAACAGGGTACAAAAAGAACACACACACACCTCAAAAAGACGGTTCTTCAAGGGTTCTTTAGTAAAGGCAATGGTTCTATTTTGAACCATATGCATGCTTAATTGTTATTTGTGAAATTGTTCTTCAGATTGATGGAGAATGTGTTGGGTATAGTTCTATATAGCACCATAAAAAGTTCCTTTGTAACAACAGAAGAACGCTTTTGGGTGCTATATTAGAACCATGTTCAAAAAGGTTCTACATAGAATCATACACAACACATTCTCCGTCAAACTAAAGAACCATTTCACCACGCAAAAAAAACATTTACACATGCAAATGGTTCTAAACAGAACCACTGCCTTTACTAAAGAACCATCTTTACGTATGTAGCATAGGTACAAGTCATTTTGAACTTGGAAAATAATATGAATATTTTTAAATCCACTATATAACGCAGCACTAAACACATTACAGCAATAGCAATAATCATTCCCCCCTTAGAACATACTCTAAAATATATGTTCTCACTGTGTAAACAATCTATCCTTTCCTCTTACAGAGAAATATGGCCAGTATTTCCCCTTTTCTACATGTCCTAACGACAGGCCTCTTTCCTTCCAGTCCGCATACAGGCAGTTGGGGAAATGAAGCGTTTCCATGTTTATAAGGAACGCCTACGCCGGTGGAGTTCAGTCATTAAGCATTTAATGTAATTTGAGGTGAAAACAGATACCAACATCTATCAGCATTGGTCAGTGGTGGACAGTATTGAAGTAAATGTAATTCATTACTGTACTTAAGTACTTTTTTTCGTGTATCTTTACTGAAGTTTTTCCATTTTGGGGCGACTTTTTACTTTCACTCCACTGCATTATGAGAAATCTGTCATTCCTTTTGGTTTATGTGTGCATAAAAACGTAACGTCAAAACAAAAGAAGCGCAAAGCAAGAACAGCAATCAGGGCACAGTGCGCACTTTGTTTTGAGCTTGCTTTGACCTGTTGGTCATACCGACCCAGTGCAAGCATACGGTTCAACATCAGTGCAGCAGCGTAAATTTTGGGAGAGTCTATTCAACATAAATAATGAACTAACCTAACTTTGAGTAAATAGACCACAATATAGAAATATGTACACATATGCAGTTGTGACTGACGTGTCTTCATTTTATAGTAAATTTGTTTTTGAGTTGATAACGCAAGAGTCTTGTTACAAAAATGGTAATAGGACATTAGAGCCATAATTAATCTTTTAGTACTTCTAGTTTTGATACTTAAGTACATTTGAAGGCGAATACTTTTGTACTTTTACTCAAGTGGAGGTCTAAAGGGAGGAACTTCTACTTTTACTGGAGTAATATTTTACCTTGGGTATCTCTACTTTAACTCAAGTGCATGGTTTGTGTACTTTGTCCACCACTGGTATTGGTGTTTCATTCCCTCTTAGTTATGAAAAGCTCTTTATTATGCAGCTCGCTGCAGTGGTAGCCATCTTCTCTTCTTGTTTCGTCTTTCAATAGAGGCAATGCTTCTTCTCTAAAACAGAGGGAGCGAGGGTTGATGTGTCCAAACAGCCTACAGCTGCACAGATGCCAAGATTAGGCCCAGCCTATACATGACAAGTGACAGGTGTGACAGACGTGACCATGTAGGGATAAACAAAAATAGGCAGAAGAGAATGTTCTCAATACAATCACAGTACAGACCCACACAATACTGAATATACTGACACATAACCCAGCACTAAACACAGTACAGCAACAGATTTCTTCAAAGGACTCTTTAGTAAAGAAAACGGTTCTATATAGAACCATGAACACTCAAAGAACCCTTGATTAAAGGCTTCTTTGCATCATAAAAATATTGATAATGTGCTGTAGATGGTTCTATACCGCACTAGGAAGGGTTCTTCTATTGTTATCGTGTCAAGCCTGTAACAATAAAAGAACCCTTTTCAAAAAGGTTCTATATAGAACTGTTTATAGTACATTTACCATCAATTTGAAGATGCAAAGAACCTGTTAATCATGAAAAGGGTTCTTTGAGTGTTCATGGTTCTATATAGAACCATTTTCTTCACTAAAGAACCCTTGAAGAACCTTTTTTTAACTGTACTACCATTAGGCTGGGTTTGCAGAGGATCACTAAAGGAATTCACTGAAAACCTTGCTTACTTAATCTCGCTCTGGAGCTACGAGGCTAAAGTAATTTGGGTGACATTGAATTCTATTACTTGTTAGCCACATTAGCATCGTAGCTCCAGTGCAAAACTAAAGAGGGAAACTTCAGACACCAACCACGTTTGGCAGGTCGACTACATTTGGGGTGAAAGGAAAACTGGGTAAGTTTCTTGTTTTTGCGAACAATTCCTTTAAATATGAGCAACATTAAGCCCACAAATGAGCCAAACGCGAGACTGAATCTGAATCCGGGCAGTTTTCTGAAGGTTCTCCAGCTGTAATGGATCCTTCATACTTTTATCAGCAATACTAGTTCAGTCACGACTGCTCTTCCAGAAGGAAACCCCTCTCATCTTTCTTTCCTTCAGAGCCCAGAGAAATGACCAAGGGCTCGATCCCAAATGGTTCTTTGTTGGCGAAACAGTGCACTTATCACAGCCCAGTGGACGAGTGCTTCTTTCAGGACACATCTAGTGCACTATGTAGGGACTAGAGAGTCATTTGAGACCGAGCCGAGGCGTGCAGCATTCATTCAGCCCAAACTTGTGGCCACAAAGAAAGCCACAAACCGCAACACCGCAAACTGTGTTGATTATAATGTCCCTGTTTTACTACACGACTAAAAGACGCTGAGGTGAAGCAGCAGAAAGATGGTTTAACAGGTAAAACGTCTCCATCATGTGGATTTAGCTCTGTAGACTCTGCTCAGGCAGCCAATAGCAACATCAGTGCACTTAAGATTTAAAGACTGCCAAAAAAGGCTCCCGGTATGTTATTTAAAAGCGCTCGTTCAAAAAAAACAGTCCGTTCAAACAGAAAATGAGGCAATAAAACCAAAAGGGGGAGTAAAAACCTAAAATGTACCGCGTTATGGCGAATAAGTAAAACAAAACTTACCTCTTTTATCCAACTAAACTGGAGTGAAGGATCCAAGTCGCCATAATACCGGAAACAAACAGCCGGCATGCCGTATCACTATTGACCACCAGAGGGCGCTGTTTCGAACTCTCATTATTTATTGATCAAATGCATTTCTAATAAATATATCAATAAAATAATTGGAGAAAAAGGCAAGAACTGAGCCAGACACTGTGCTCAATAGCCTATATTTCTCATTTTATTTACACATTTATACAGAAACTGTAGATGGAAGCTTATCCATGACAGACGATTGCATCATGAGAAATAAACAACTATAGTTTGCAATGAAGCTGTAGTTGGATCAGTCTGGTCCAGGTTAAAGGAAAGGTTCTCCAAAAAAATCGTACACAATTTCCCCCTTATCCCAAACACAGTCGATCGGGAAAGATGTTTGGTGTCCTTTTCTTTCTGCACTGGACCTACAAGGCTAATGTAGTTAAAACATAAGTGTAAATCTATGGAACCAGGCATCATATTAGCCACACAACGTGTTGGCCAAGTAACTACGCTTGGGTTATGGGGAAAACTGCACGTTTTTTATGAACCAGTCTTTAAAGGTAGTCCAAGTAACATTTTAGTGAGCCACAGAGGGACCTTGCTAAGTCACAAATTCTACTTTTTATATTGAAGTGACTGAAGTGGGGCTGTGCAGATGTCCAGGACTGCTGGACTTAGTTTCCACAACAGCTGAGCAATAGTTTAGTGCAATAGTCAACTTTATCCAATCTACTCGATTTGACATTTGTCCCCTCTCGGAGATTTCCCCGTGGGGGAATATTACTAAGAAATGTCACTTCACACGTGTGGTAACTAGATTTCCCAAGTTTTTCCTTAAAAACTTTTGCAGCTTTGCAGCCAGAGACTGTTGGTACTTTCCTCATTGATTGAGCAGTAATGACTGAACAGGAACAGTATGTCGTCTGAAAATGGTAATGCGGTCATTAAATATCGGACATAAAGATATAAGCGAGAACAGAGACAACAGAGAGAAACCATCTGGAGTCAGGCTCTCAGAGATCAGATGATCTTAAATGTGCAAATTCTTGTGTTACACAAGTCACTCACCAAACCTAAGCCCACACTAACAGACAGGCAGTTGTCCTTGTTAAAGTCCAGGAGTTGTCTTCTGAGGGAAAAATCACATTTAAAACTTTCAGATTCAACAACCCCAAAAGGAATCAGTTCTTAAATAGCTACGGAGTACATACCCGATCGTGAAAATGCACGAGCACAAAGGAGAAAAATATGTATACTGGTGGGAGGAGGATGAGCCTCTTGCACGACACAAAGGTTCTGCTTTCACCAACCGAAAGCCAATCTTCCTTCTACAGTAAATGCACTTGTAGCCCCGTCACGTGTCAGTGAGACCGTGAGAGTGTGAATGTGTGAGAAAGAGCGCGAGTCTATTTCTGGTTTTTGAGCAGCTCGTCGATCTGAGTCTTGTACATGTTCTTGACGTCCTCCAGGTCGAGCCGCAGCTCCTCAGCCTCCTCTGCTTTCTCTCCGTACATCTGCAGGATGGTGTTGTGTCTCTGCTCCAGGTCCTGAGGACAGACACACAAACACGCTCCATTACTGTAATTTACTGTAATAGAATACTGAAATTTATTGTAATAAATATTACACGACTATTCAGAAGTTTGGAATCTCTGGAACTTAATACATTGTGTATGCAATAATAACTTGCACAATTTAGATTAAAATATTGTAAACTATGCACATTTTTAGATGTTAATTTACATTTTATATTCATCTTTCAGCTCTGTTGGGTACAACAAGTAATGAAATGATGAATGATATTAAAAATAATAAATGATAAATAACACTGTGATTATCTGTTTATAGCAATTTCTTGTCAAATGTAATTTTATTATTAGAACTTCATTTTGGACATTTATTTTATTAGAACTTTATTTTGGATATTACATTTATTATGACCTTATTCAAAATCTTGATTTTATTACACCTTCATTTTGAATTTTACATTTATTACAGCATCATTCAGGATATTACCTTTTATTATAACTGCATTCTGGATGTTAAATGTATTAGAATGTCATTTTGAATATTATTTGTATTGGAACTTATTAATTTAATTAAAAATGCATTCCAAGTATTTAGTTAATTATAACTTCATTATGCATATTAATTTTATTAACTTTATTCTGCATGTTTATTACAACTTGATACTAAATAATAATCTTAGAACTTTTTTTGGATGTTTCTTTTATTAGAATTTCATTCTATATATTAATTTCACTAGAAATTCATTCTAGATATAAATTTTATTAGAACTTAATTCTGGATGTTAAAATTATTAGAACTTCTTTCTGGAGGTTAAATTTATTATAATGTCTTTCTAGATATTAATCTTATTAGAACTTCATTCTAGATATTAATTTTATTAGAACTTAATTGTGGAGGTTAAAATTATTAGAACTTTTTTCTGGAGGTTAAATTTATTATAATCTGTTTTTAGATATTAATTTTATTAGAACTTCATTGCAGTTGACGAGGCAAACACTTCAAAACAAGGTCCAGATGTTTGAGTGGACTCACTTTGAGCTGCACTCTGAGTCTGGGAATCTCCTTTACTTTGGCCTCCATCTCATCGTTCTGATTGGTCAGTCGGACCAGTTCTTCCGCCATCACCGAGCGGCTCCTCTCTAGATTCGAGATTTCCAGCTACACAATGACAATTTATGAAAAGAATGGTAAGAATTTGTATCATTCACTTCCAAACAGAAATATCAGCCACAGCATTTCATTTTCATTACATAACTGACCATTTCTGCAGCTGACCCAACACACCAAAGCCAAGAAACTGTGGTCTATAGAACAGGGAGCATTTCACAAACTTCTCAATGGGATATTTGCCTTAAAGAGAAACTCCTGCCAGACGAGGGAAGCCCCCTTTTCATGATGTATCAAAGGGTTTTAAAAAAACAATCAAGAGGTAAAGAAGAGCTCGTCCCCAAATTTTCTTCTAATCAGTTACAGTTACACACTGTTAAAGATCAATACATCAGCAGGGGGTTTTCCTAGTCAGGCCAGAGTGTACTTTGAGTTATCTGGCTAATTGAGAACTCCCACTTTGTAAAACATACCCATCAGAACACGTTACCTGGCTCAGGTGGGTTGGGAGCTGGACGTGGATCAGCTGTGGGTCCTTAAAGACAGGACTAGTGACAGATGCTGTAATTGAAGTCAGTGTGTATCTGTGAATTACCTGGAGCTGTGCAATCTCTCCTTCCCGCAGTTTGAGCTGGGACTGCAGGTTCTCGATGATGCTGGAACCTCCACTCAGTCTTGCTGCCTCATACAGGCTGCTCCCGCTCAGAGACACGGTCATTGTGCCAAACGAGTGGTCCAGAGAGTCCTCCTGCTGCCACAATAGCAAGGAAGTAAATCCCTAATTTAATGTTTAACCTGATTTGCACAGTTTTCACAAAGCTGTCAAACAGCCAAGATGTTTGGTGTTCAGATCAGATTTTACTTCTTTAGTTAGCGCTCAGGGTAATCATTGCTAAACTAAGTCAATAGTCACCCAAATCTTTTCCATTAATAAATCCACAAAAACCTTCCCTCAACCTGCTCAAACTGCATCCAGGCATCTTCATGCCTGTGTGACACCTGACATGCACACAAAGGGGATTGCAGCTGCACACAGTGTTCAGCTACACAGTGACCATCCAAGACCTGGATGCAGTTTGAAAATAGTTGAGAATGTATTTACAAAAAAGATTTGGGTGACGATATCTAGTGTTTGTTAGCGACGTTAGCCTTGTAGCGCCGACACTAAACTAAAGAGGCAAAATTTAGACCCCAAACCTGTCTTGGCTGATCGACCTCATCTGGGTTAAGTGGGAAAACTGTCAATTTGATTCTCTGCCAAACCATCCCTTTAACTGCAAGGGTCTGTATGTGGGTCCACACTTCCATTTCCTACTCTACTACACAACATTAAATTCATAGAAGTTGATGAACTTACTTAAGAGTAATAACTGAATAATCATCATGCAGTTTAAGGGCTTAATGGAAGCAGTGCTTAAGTGTCTTAGATGTACCGGACCTGAGAGAGCATAGAGGTGTGCAGGCCACCGTGGTCAGCTCCGCTGATGGAGCTGGAGCGAGAGAGGGATGGGGTGGAGGACGCAGGAGCCTCGCTTACTGACACGCTCGGAGTCTTCCGCTCCTAATACACACAAAAAAACACAGAAAACTTGTTAGGCCAGCTGAAAAACATACGCAGATGCACACTGATCTCACAAACAATATACAGAGTTCATGCTCCCAATGTGGAAAATCTTCCTAGATTAAGGCACTATGCTTTCGTAAGGCTACAAGATCTGAAAGAACGATTCTTTTTAGGATGTTAAGCCTGCTATAGACATGATGCCTGGACCGTGCTGGATAAAAAGCTGCACATGTGCTGGAATTACTGGTCTGCTCTGACCAAATAAAAGTTAGAGGTAGTTCTAGGTCATTTTCTAAGGTCTTGCTCCAACCTTCTCCTTCAGGGCCTCTTGCGCAAGGTAGCATTTCTTCTTCTCTTGCTCTACCTTCATTTTCTCCATCTCAAGCTGGTTTGTGAGCAGCAGCTGAAGGACAACAAGAAAATTGTTGAGTGGGTGTGCAAGAGTGAAAGGGAGTTTGTGAGATGAATACACACAGAGCAGTATGGTTAACAGAACAGCTGGTTAACATTACCTTCTCCTTTCTGGCCTCTTCCAGGGCTCGTGCGTATTCCCCTTTCAGATTCTCCAGTTCAACATGTTCCCTAAACACAAAAAGAGCCAGTTATAAAATCATATGGTCTTAAACTCACTGACCTTGCACTTCTAGGGTTGTTAAAATGTGATGTATCATTGTGATGTATCAATCTGCAAGTGACGATTAAACTACACTGGTTTTCAAATATTAGAGTAGATTATAGTCTGTTAGCACAATAATAAAAATAATGAGTTAAGTGTCTGCTTCATTCTGAACAAAATATCATTTTGTAGATATTTTTGAATAGAACAATCCAAAAACTGCTTAGTGCATTGTTTTTATTGTCTATATTTCACTACTTGTATAACTTTATCGTAAGAATCAAAACAAAACAATCTAATTAGACAGACACATGGCCACATTTTATTACTATAACTTCATGGTAATAGATTTAAATATTATAAACTATTCACTACAAAAACATTTTTAGATGTTTAACTCACATTTTATTTTCATCTTTCAACTATTTCAGGTACAACATGCAATATAATGTTGAATGATATTAAAATGATAAAGAACGTATTATAGTTATCTATTTATAGCAATTTTTTGTCAAATGTAATTTTATTATTAAAACCTAATTCTTAATTCAACACATTATTATTTATTAATAGAACTTCATATTGGATATTACATTTATTACAGCAACATTCAGGATATTCATTTTATTAGAACTTCATATTGGATATTAATTTTATTACAGCGTCACTCAGGATTTTATCAGAACTTCATTCTGAATTTTTTTGGTTGAAATTCATTGCAGATATTAACTGAATTATGACTTCATTACAGATTTTAATTATAACTTCTGCATATTAATCTTATTAATCTTATTAAACTTCATACAAGTTTGAGATTGTATGATGCACTGAACAGTTTCCAAAATCAATCAAATTGTTGTGAGGTTACAGATTTAGTATCCCTGTGTGACACAATCTGACATTAATGAATGAAAGTACTTTTACAGTGACACTTCTTTTACTTCTTCCCTTTGTTTTTCCCCTCACATTCATCCACTCATTCATGTTCATGTTACTTAGATATTTCACTTTATTAAAGAAGAGGAGCATTCATTATACTACATGGCATCTACATAACTTTAATGACAACTGATATAAACCTTTATAAACATTTATCAAGGCTTATTCAACAAGCGTCAGGTGTCTTAAAGGCTGCTTTTGTCAATTACCTGATTTGATGTCCCAACTCAGAAAGTGTTACGACAACTGACCCTTGCTGGACTTAGCCTTTAGAAACGTTTATATAGGTTTATGTCAGCTGAAAGGCTTATGTAGGTGCTGTGCAGCCTTATGAAAGCTTCCCTTCAGTAAAGTGCTGCCAATATTTCTTACTGTAAGGTCAGTGTGGAGGCACATAGCTGACATTCCTAAGGCATTCCTACAGCTCCTTTCACTGAGAAGCCACTCCGTGAAACCTCCTCCATACCTGCTGTTGTCGTCCTCCAGCTTCTCCCGCCGTGTCCTCTCTGCATCCAGCTGGCCCTGCAGACGCCCCTTCTCCTGCCGGAGGATGGAATTCTGGGATTCTAGAGAGACCAGCTGAGCCTTGATGGCATGCAGCTCCTCGGTTGCCGAGCGCTCCTTCTCCACTGCAACAGCCAGCTGAGCCTGGGCTTCAGCTACTCGATCCACAAAACAAGAGTGACAAAGATAGAAACAGAGGCAGGGAGAGAAGAGATGGGGTCAAGGTTAGGATTACAGTGCATCAGTTAATTATGGTTATTATACCCAACTCCAATCCATTTCCACAACTCAGCTACTATGTGCAGAGAAGAAAAATCAGGACTGAATGATCAATGCTGCCTTTCTGCTCCACTGCTCTCACCTAAGCGGTCGGAGATGTTCTTCTCCAGTTTTTCCCAGGATGCCGTCTGGGCTCCCAGAGTAGCCTGAAGGTTCTCTATCTGCCGCAGGAGGGGCCTGGTCGCCGAGGTAACGCTCTGACTCAGCTCCTGGTTCCTGGTCTCCGCCTCCTGCAACCTCTGTAAAGGGGAAGCAAACAGAAAAAAACAGAAAATAACAGAATAACAGGTAAGTATTAGCCTTAATTAAAAAAGATAAAATAAACCTAAATAAACATATTTAGATTGATAACTGGATAATTAGTCTAGGGGTTAAAGGGGTTAAATGCCATTATTTTTACAAGGCAAAACACAATACATGAACCCACAAATAACACTATTATGGTGCGCACTACTGAATACTTTCATACAGGGCTGGGCAATATGACAATATTTATTATTATTGTGATAAATTACATCACAGTATGTCATAGTGTGCCTTTCTGAGCCTATCTTGGATGTCGTGAGTACTTAAACACTTCCCAACTGCATGTTTGATTACAAAGAGAGTATAATTAGTCCTGTTTAGTGCAGCATATGTGAAGTGTTGAATACAAATCATGGTATTCACAATTTTGAAAGTATTTTCTCTGGCACTGCTTTGTCTGTCCCAATTTATGAAAATTCAGAAAAAATAAATAGTGACATATCATCTATCATGAAAACTGTTATGTTATTACATTTTTGCCATTAAACTGTTAATCACACTAATTTATATGGCATTTTATCATCAGCTAAAATTTTGTGCCAGGCCCACATCTGTGATGGAGAAGAATATTACCCAAGAGTGGCAGTGTGAGTTACCTGCTGAAGTTCACTGATCTCCTCTCGTAGGTAATCCTCTTTTCTGGCCTGCTGCTGTTCAGCTCTCTGCAGAGCCAGCCTCAGATCCGCCACCTGAAATCAGAGGCATGACAGGAAACAGTCTATTAACACACACAATAAGATCTGCAGCCTTAAAGGGGAATTCCAGCAAAATTTCAAAAAGATTTAGTTTTTTTTTTCTATTTGTTTTCTTGTTTTTTTTTAAGTAACCTGAAAATGATTACAAACATATTGCCTGATGCCAGCGATATGGATTTCTTATGGTTTAGATTTTGACCTGGTTTTTAAAATGTATTCATGGTAGCTTGGCACATGCAGGATGTTGTAAGGGACGTTGTAAGGCAAAAGGCCACCAAAGAAAACTCAGATTACTCAGATTTACCACTATTTTACCTTTTTCAGCAATACATATAAAAACCCAGAAGACATGTTGTCTTGTGCACAGCATATGGGTATTTCATTACTCTTCACAAACTCTGCATTTCTCTACTTTGTTATTGCACCATAATTGACAACAATAGGCTATAATTAATTATAATTGTAATTAACTGCAGCTCTTGCCATTTTGAAAACTCCATCTAAATTGTGATTTCGATGTAAACACTAATCATGTTGTAGTACTGAATAAAAAGTCTCAGGATGAAACACTGGGTTTTTAAAGAGTCCAGACCAACAGACTGTTATGCAATATTTTGAAAAGTGTTTCAAAATACTCAATGAATAGACCACTATTTCAGCTCAGCCAGTTACAGTGACAGAGCCAGGCCAGTGAGGGCGGAGCCTTACCTGATTAGCTAGAGCCTCCTGCTGTAGGCGGGCCTCCTCCTGGGCTTTTTCCAGTGCCAGGCTGAGCTCCTCCTTGGCCTGCACCTCTCGGCTCAGAGCCAGCTCCTGGGCTTCGCTGGCCTTCGTGGCGTTGGCCTTATGCAGCTCTGCAAGCTCCCTGAACACCACACACACGCACACAGAGCAAACGCAAACTCAGTAGAGTCTTAGTTTGGACTATGAATAAGACAGACTAACAGGAAGGGAAGGGTTAGCATGACCTCAGCATTTGTGAAGAAAAACTATGACTATGCAAGTGCTGAGATCATTCAGTAATACTGATTTGTTTGTGGTCCACCTTAAGTCAGAGATCTCAGCTCAACAGCATGTTAGCTGCTGCTGCCATGCTGGATGCTGATGGTAATAAGTGTGTGTGACATGGGAGGTACAAAAAAGGAAAAAGAAACAAAACACATGAATTCTGATGTGACCACTCTACATGGCCACTAATCAGATACAGTCTGATCTGGGACCACATATAAAAGCGATTTGGAAAAGATCAGATTTTTGTGCTCAGGCTTCCAACCGGCACAACCATCTAAGCGTTGGCATCACTGTTGGTCGACCACGCGTTCAATTCCTGGCACTGCCACAGCCGTCCATGGTTAGGAGTCTAGGGGGTTAGGATGGTGCCCCCTTCACTTCACAGCACTCAGCATGATGCCAACATGGGCATTTATTAGCTGATGTAACAGAATTAGCAGTTAGCATTCTCCTCCAAGCATGTCCAACTGCAGTGTATTAGCAGCAGTTGGAAAAACCCTCCCAGCTTGGAACCTACATAGAGTCGTGTGCAAAAGTTTGAACACTCCGGTCCAATGACTTAAATATGGCATTTTTCCTGCAAATGTCAGGCCTCAATTTCTATTCTTATAATGTAAAATGTAAAACAAAAAATATAAAATGAGACATTAGTTTTTCACAGACCACATTTTAAGGTTCATTTTTGTCCAAAATGTTAAATTCAGCACATAAACAGAAAAGTGTTCTATGTACAGGATGTGTTAACTTATTCTCAGTTAAAATTCAACAAACGTAATTTGACTTGGGGTGTTTATTACTTATAAGAGCTGTCCAGGGCGGCTTGCAGGCTGCGGTTCTTCTCCTGTAGTTCCTCAAGTTCAGTCTGCAGCTTGCTCAGATCTTTCTCCTGCCGCTCCACAACAGAGTTCAGCTTCTTTATGTTCTCTCTGTGCTGCTTCTCCAGCTCCTCCTTTCCATCCAGAACCTACAACCACACAGACAGCCATGCACACAATTCAACTTTTTACACATTACAGCACTTTATAATGGGTCATAATGAAGCAGCCTTGCAGAACACCAGGCCAGTGAGGACCAGTAAAGGCATTTAAACCACAAGTATAGATGCAAACATTACAGTCCAGACTTGCATTAAATATAAACTGTTTTTGATGATACAGTGTAAGTAGAACTAAAGTGGTGATGAGTATAAAGTGAAACACAGTACAGCCCAATCCCATTTCATCCCTCACCCCTACCACCTAGCCCTTATCGCTTCGCTAATAGTGTGCTAATGTCTCAGTAGCTAGCTAGCTAAATTTCACGTTCCACCTTAAATAGTCCAGCAGTTCTGACGCCTGAAGAACCAGAATGTAACTGCTGCAGGACAATTTGAACGAGAAGCTGGTGAATATCTGACTTCAGCTTCATATCACTTAAGAATTAGGGGTGGGCTATAATAAATAACTGTCGTATCCCCCCTCTTTGAAGACATATGATGCCTTAAATGTAACTAAAGCCCAGCAGGGAGGCTGCTGAATTTTACCCTCCTCTGCTGTCACTGCAGACTGGCAGCATCGCCCACAGAGCAGCGCTGGTAGCCTGTTAATGAAGTAATGTTCTTTTTTATTTGAGGGTCCCATTTTGTAGTGGAAGATTTCAACCACTACTCTTTGTAACTCAGTTCTAAGGGGCAAAGTTACACTCGAAAACAAGGGGTAGGAGCAAAAATAAGAGATGGGATTGGGCCTATGAATCCACATATCAGAGGTGGTACTCACAAAACAACGGAAAGTAGAAGTGGTCATATTTGATCAATATTGTGCTTTTTCTTTCAAAGCCAAGACTAATACTGAGCTTCGATCAATATGTTTTTTTTTTCTATTTAAAGAAGCAGCACCATAATATGGGGATTTATGATCTGATTGCAGATTATTGCCCTTTTAAATACTAGCTAAGCAATCATCTGTGTTCCCACACTCTGGTTCTTCTAACCCTTTAAACTGTAAACCAGGGGGGCACAGCTCTGGTCCTGGAGGGCCGGTGTCCAGAACAGTTTGGTGATTTACTCACTCAAACACACCTGATTACACTAGCCTGTTAAAGGGCAGGTTTAGTAGATGTGTTTGTAGGGAAACGTCCAAACTTTTCTGGACACCGGCCCTCCAGGACTGGAGTTGTACACCCCTGCTGTAGGCTTTTCAGTTATTCATCTTAAGGCTTATTATACAGTAAAAACTATGGATTATTCAGTAACTACTATAAAACTATGCAAGTTATGAGACTATGACTTTGAGACTGGAACCCACTGAGATGTCCTCAGAGTCTCAAGGTAAAGGTGAACAGATAAACAGTGGGTTCAGACACTCTCTCAATTAGTATGTATGTGTATTAATGAGTATGTTCCTCTCTCTGACCTGCTGCAGCTGTTTGAGCTCGTCTTCTTGCTCTTTGAGTTTTTTGGTCTGTTTGGTGATCTTCGTGTCGCTCTCCTTCTCTTTTACCCTCAGCTTCTTGATGATGTTGGAGTGCTGAAGCTGCTGCTTAGACAGTTTCTCGCCTGATTGGGAAATAAAAGTCTCATCATTCACACATATGGGGCTGAAATTGCATTTTAATGACACAAATCTGGGCTCTAAAAAGAATATGGACACCTTAATCATTAAAGTATTGGTAAACTAAATGACTTTCTGAAAAGGAAAATTTTGTTTCCTAACACAATGAGCTTAAAGGGGAACTCCACAGATTATTCCAAAATTTTGCATAAGTCTATCATTAATATGTAGAGTCATTCAGACTAGTTTGATGCGATATGCTCCACCCTAGAGAGTGGTGGTGACAGAAACCAGACATCTGAAGAGTTTAATGTCTCCAAAAGCTCCCTCAAAGAACGTTTGTAAAAGAGAGGGTTACAAATATGATGTCTGATGTCCGGGACACTGTTTTAGGAAAGTTTTTGGTCGAAACATATATTTTGATCTATTTATGGCAGAGAGTTACATAAGGAAAACAACCCCCAAATTAACTTAAAAAACCAGGTATGAATGGTACAAATTGAACAAATCATGATTTACCAGTATTTTACTATTATCAATCTAATAAAACTGTAGTGTATGTGTGTAGGTTCACTGATGGCAAATAAAATGATTATATTTACATATATTTATATATATCACTACTGTGAAGAAATCATTGGAAAGTGTCGGTAAATTTTTGTACAATGCACAATTTCACATCAAACGACTGTGAAAGACTTTTACTCATAACAAGTAAACTATGCTGCAATTTTGAAACCTCTGTGGAATTCCTCTTTAATATATTTTTAAGTACAGTATAAATGTCCAAATACTTTTTGGGGCCAGCATATAAAAGAATTTAAAATGTGACCAAAGAATATAATATAAATCTGGTTTGTTGACAGGACTAGTAATTATAAAACAATACTAGTGCAGATAGTTTTACTAAAAGGTGTCTGATGGCTTCAGTACAAGCAGAATAGTCATTTTTGAGGAAAGTCAACTAAACTGGACAACAAGGTTTTAGTTCCAATATGTCTATGGCAAACAGACACTCTGAACTTTGATTATTAATGGTCTAAAGTACTTTAAAACCATTTTTGTTTGTGAGCCAAAACAGAATAACAATACAGACTGGCTTGAAGGCTGCAACAACAGATTGCAAAACAAGTATTAAAAAACACCCATATAACAGTGTCAGAGTGATAAGCGTAGACATCACGTGCTTTTGTCTGATGACTCTTCTTGAAACTGACTCTTGTAAATATGTTTCACAGCTAAGAAAGAAAAACTCATACATGTTTCACAGCTAAGAAAAACTCGTACATGCAGTGCTCCAGAAAACCAGCTGAGCCAGACTTTGACCCACCCAGCAAATGAGAGCTTCACAATGTTGGCCTCTGTAATAGTGATATCAAGTGTGTGCTCTGAGTGTCCTGACCAATTCACAGACATCCCAGATGAGTGTTCTGATTAATCTAATCATTTTGGCCAACATGTATTACCAGTATGTTTTGAATATACTGCAAGTCATATCACAAATTTACTTATTTATTTATTGAATCACTTGCATCAGTCAAAAATCTATTTTTTAAATGGAACGAACTGAACAAATCACAATCTATTAACAAAACAAACTTGCTGAAACAAATATGTGATACTTGAACAAATACATGTGATATTCTCCTCAAACTTCACCACCGTACAGCATGTGAGGGGCTCATCAAGCTAACCATGGTCACGAAAGGCTTCTGTTGATTCCGTCTATACTCAGCGCACCCTTAAGCGAGCAAAGGGAGTTATAACAGATTTCTCTCATCCAGCATACCATCTTTTCCGAGCACTTCCTTCAAGAGGTTCTTTAAAAGAAGCAGGTTCTTTAAAAACTAGGACAAACCGATTTAAGAACAGCTTCTTCCTATTGCGACGAGGTTACTTAACTCTTCTGAGAAGTATATATCATTATAGTCTGTCCATACGATTTTTAGCCTTTGTGGACCCTTACAGGCCACTCCACTCAGACCAGCACAACACACACTAACACACCACCACCACATCAGTGTTACTGCAGTGCTGAGAATGATCCACCACCCAAATACCTGCTCTGTGAGGGCCCATGGGGGTCCTGACCGCTGAAGAACAGGGTAAAAGGGGGCTAACAAAATATGCAGAGAAACAGATGGACTACAGTCTGTAACTGTAGAACTACAAAGTGCACCTATATAGTAAGTGGAGCTGATAAAATGGGCAATGAGCATAAAAACAAGGAGGTGGTCATAATGTTATGCCTGACCGGTGTATGTGTATGTGAGGCAGCAAAAAGAATCAGTCAATCAATCACCTACTGCATAAAACAACAAACAACAACAATCTGTTTTGTTTTTAATTTAGTTTCAGCAAACTCTGACGAGCCAATGCTCTAGTTGTGGCTCCTCTGTCCAGTAGTTAGCTAGTAATCACACACTGCAGAGACACAGAGGACGTAGTAAAGTTAGCTAAAGATGCTGCTGCTCAACTGCACCATTCAGTCTTTTTTGCTTTAAGTCACCTTAAAGCACTCGCAAGTCACTCTCTGTTTTCGCTTAAAAATTACGAAACTGACAGTGAAAAATGAGAAAAGAGATGCTGCAATGAACCCAAACAAAGATCTTTATTTGGAAAACATGGTGTGCAAGCTATACTGAACGTGAACTCAAACTGCAAAACACAACAGCTGACCTACACCTCAGCTGCTAAGCAGGGCCCCCCCCCTACACTAAGCAACAGCAAAGGCACCACCACGATACTACTGTGAGAGATTCGAAAGAGTTTATGGAAAATCATTCGCAAAATATCCGAAATATAGGCCATTTTTATCGACGGCCACCTTGCAACCCTGCAACCATCCCAGGACAACCCCAATTAAGAACGGCATCATTCTTAATGTACAAAAAACACTTTGAATTGAATAAGAAACCAATGAATCATGAATCTAATCGATTTGTGGTTCTCTAAGATTGACACCTCTAGTAATCGTCCTATTAGAACTGCTCTTACCCTCCTCTAGAAGGCCTCTGATCTGTTCCTCCTTCTCTCTTATCAACTCCAAAGTTTCATTTGAGTTGAATCTGGCTGCCAACTCTTCTCGAAGGCCCTTGATTTCCTGGAAAAGCAAAACATGAAGTGAACAAACATAGGCACTGGACAGTGTTTACTAAGAACTACACACCTTTTCCTAGACATATATTTTCGAACAGGATGTGCTTCTGTGACCAAAATCAGCATAAGCCATAAGAAGTCTGACCTAGATCAGCCTGTGTTTTGAGGCTGCTGGCTCTGGCCATAAAAACATAATAAAAGACGTCTCACAAAACAAGGTTACAATGTTGTACTGGCCATAAATAAGAGAGTAAATGGAGCACAGGGGCACTGTTAATATGCACACTGTCTTTCAAACAGTATAGAAATGTTTGCACTGAAACTACAAGGCTAACGTAGCTAATAGGTAATGGAAGCGTAGCACTCATCTCAAACAGACTTGCTTATGTGGTTTCTGACAGTGTATGACATCCTGTTATCTCCACATAATAAAATTCAGACTTCAAGACGGCTGCTACTGTTTTTTTAGTTATGTGATGTACTTTTGCATTCCATGTCCATTTTAGCTACATAAGTCTGGTAGCAAACTTCAGACAACAAACAAGTCTTGGCTGATCGACTACATTTGAGGTGAAAAACACGACGGTTATCGCAGATACAGAGGCAAACCTGAATGTCTCACCTTTTTGCCGATGTCTCGCTCTTTGCAGGCAAGCTGAGCTTTCCTCTCGGCATCAGCGATGCGCTGCGTGAACTCGTCTTTCAGGGACTGCACACTAGAGCTCTCCTCCTTCAGACCGATCACCTCACTATGAAACACATGTAAGCATTTTATTTTAAGGACCAAACCATTTACATTACATACAGTACAACTATAGGTTTTGTAAGAATACGACTGAATATGTTTTCCTGGAACAGCACTGGGGTAAATGCATTACTCCAAGGCACAACTGTAGCTCATCAGCTACAACAGCTGGAACACACAGCAATGCAAATACAACCTTTGCATGACTAGTACAGCAAACACTCCATGCTTTAAGAGATCTGTACTGACAATGCAAAATTATACTGTATTGACTTGCAATAAAGTTCTAGGAAGATGGCAGACTTTTTGTGCAAAGACGATAGAAGATAGAAACTAACATAATGATGCAAAGTGCTCCTTATTTTTGCTGTATCGAAACACGTATTGAATCGAGACCCCACTGTATTGTATCAAATCAACTGATGAATTTTGTGAATCATTTCACCCATAGTTGTATGATTTTTTTTTTGTGTGTAATGCCTGCTGGGTATTGTAGTGAGAGAACACTGATGGACAAAAACACAAAAGATACAAATCTGTGAATTCTGTCAAACCAATGAGGCTGAGGGATGCAATGCTGCACTACAGAATATTACAAAGCATGACAACATATTAAACTAGGCGCTAGTTTTAGGCTCTAATGCCCATTTAATAGCCAACTCTTCTCTGGCAATTCACTCACAAGAACAACTCACTGATCCAAAACAGCTTTGCCAAAATAGCTTTGACAGAGAAATCTAAACCTGTTGTTTTCTTGTATTTTATTTCTTTCATCTTAGAATATGTGTGTGCTTTTAAGTACCACAATCACGCATGATTAATTTGTACTCAACCAGTTTCCAACGTCTCTTTATCACTTACAATTCAACAGGCTGTCCTGTTACTGTGCCATTAAGACTGATGTATGTAAATCACCTCTGTTCTGATTGGCTGTCCTGTATCACACCTCATTCGAAAAAACAGTCTGGGCTTTTAACTTCAGGGTGAAGAGGCAGAGCTAAACTGATTTAGGCAGTATAGCTGGATATATGTAAATATGTTAGTTTCCTAGACATCACAAAAACACTTCATTCAAAAGAGGCTGTTTTTTGCAGCTTAATCTCCTTATATGGACTGTATTGACTGGAGAGGAAACCGTACATTTTAAAACATTAATGTTTCCATACCACATCAAACTCTTAGTTCAAAAAAGGCAAGGGAAATTCAGTTCTCTATGTCACGGGCCCTTTAAGTCAGTTCAGTCACAGTGTTTACAATACGACGGCTATCTAGGGAGCTGGCTGACATTTAGTGAACAGTCATTTTTCTCACTCAGATAAGACAAGAGCCATAACAAAACAAATCACAAACAAAACAACCAAAAACTAAACGGAGGTCAGAGAACTGCAATGTTTCAGGCTTCTGAGTCAACAATGAACAAGATTCCCCTATAATTTTACGCCCTCGCCCTTTAAAAAGGAGTGTCACATTTTCCTTAACCAAAGTAAATATTTTGACTGCTCCATCTGTCTCTTTGCCAGACTTTGCCATTAGAGCCATTATAAAACCCACAGACCCAAAGCTGATGCTTTCCTAAAGGTCCAAACCGCTAATCATCGAAGCAAACTCCATCGGCTCAACACTTCAACCACATTCAGTGCAGCCAACGACCAAGAAATGAAAGTGTCAGGACTGAATAATCGCATCTAAACGCAGCCTCAAACCCATATCCTAGATCAACGCTGCTACTGTGTTATAGTGACCCAGAGCTACTCACTCTTTGAGGTTATCACACTCCTCCTCCAGACGGGCCTTGTCCTTGCTGACGGCCAGCAGCTGAGCTTCTCTTTTCTCCAGCCTACCCGTAAGCTCATCAATAACCTGAAAAAAAGCGAGACAGACATGCAAAACATCAGAGAAAAGATGAATCCAACATGAGCACAATCGACTTTGTGAAACACTTTATTTATTCCTTAAGTATTATAGGAATCCAGATAGTTTTGCGATTATATTCCCATTAGATGCACTGAAAGAAAGTGCTGGTAGCTTTAGAAAAAACTGGCAAAATAACATTTTCTGGACAGCTTTTTTTTAATGTGATATTCACCAAGTCTCAGTCACAGAATAGTCCAACTTAAAGCATCACCACAAATGTGGCTGATTGGCTGAGATACGTTTGGTGTCTTAAGTTTGCTTGTTTTAAAAAAAAATCTCAAATCTTTGCCCATTTTCTAAACTTCTACCCAATTTTTCTCCCAAATTTAGTCATGTCTAGTTCCACTTACAGCAGTTTAACTCCGCCCATTCATATCAAAGTTCTAAGGAGAGTTTCAGCGCTGAGTGCTTTTTGAGGCACAATACAGGGCAGCCAATCAGAGCACAGCTCATTGATCTTATATCAGCCTTAAAGGCACCAGAACAAAAGCAGCCTGTCTAATTCTAAAGGATAAAGAGAGGTTGGAAAATGGTTGTGTAAAAATGAATTATGACCATTTTTGGTACAGAGACTTACACAAATGTAATAAGTGGACTTCAAGGGGAAAATAAAAAAAATACATAGGAAATGAGCCCTTTAAGACATTGTTGTTGATAATATAGGCTATAGATGATTGGAAAATTGCTTTTTGATATAAAAACCATCAATCTATCAGCACTCTGTGAGTATTTAGTTATTTAGTTTGCACAGTGTTTATTGTTGCATATCACCCTCCATGTTACCTATATGCAAACCTCAGACACCAAATATGTCTTGACTGAGGAACTACATTTGGGTTAAGTAGGACACTGTGCTAATTTGAATTACTCCTTAAAGTGAGCCGACCAATTCAATTTAAAAGTAGGGGTGTGTGATCTGGCAAAAATATTATATTATGATACTTCAAGATATTTTCACAAGACACAAAATATGAATTATAATTTGTTCTTCTGAGATCAAATAAGTTGGAAAGGACAAAACAGAACCTGTAGAGCCACAAAAATACTATAATAATAAACACGATGTTTCTTCAATGTTCTACAAACTGTGCTGCGCCAAATCCAATTAAACAAGCCTAATTATGCTCACTTTGTAGTAAAACATGTAGATGGGGTGGCTGAGAGCCTAGTAGTAGGAGAAGTGCGGCATCAACCAGGAGGTTGCGGATTCAGATCGCACAACTGACTAGGTATACCTGGTTGTGCCCTTGGGCGAGGCACTTAACCCCCCACTGCCCCAGGCGGCGCTGCTCTGCTGGCGTAAAGTACATAACATAGATAGTCAGTGTTCTTTAAATATTGACGACATTCATGATAGGCTCAGAAAAGCATATTGTGACATCAATACGATCACGATTACGATAAATTATCATCATACTGCCAGCCCCCAATTTAATGGGAATGGGAAATCATAACACATTTTCCTTCCATCCCGAGACATATTTCTGAGTGAAACATGGAGGGTCTCTGAGTTAGTTGAGCGTTTTCTCTTTATGACAGGTGGCCACTGGTGTGCAGTGATGTCATCAAAAATCAGAAGGAGTTTTAAAGGCGGGCAAACATCTACACCTCCATTAAAAATTATGGGTAAAGAAGAATGCTGTCTTCTTCTTAACTACATTATATGATAATGTTTAATATGAACATGTCAGTTTTGATTTCAGGTTTAAAAAGAGAGAGCTGAAAGCAAAATCTCCTAAAATACTTTCAATAATTTCAATGATAAATCATGGAGCATGACATCCAAGAGTACATTTAACACATGCACAGCAACACTAGATACACAGAGCCAGTCCAGTTTCACAGACACAGATTAAGCCTAGTGTTGGACTAACTTGCAATGCCAAAGGGGTTTGACAATTAAAAAAGAAAAACAATTACATTTAGTCTACTTTTAGGCTTAATCTGGATCTGGAAAAACTGGCCCATGATGACTAGCGAATTCTGACCTTTTGTAGTTCCAGGAGCTGGCAGGTGGAGGCTCCTCTTTGCTCCTCAGTAATAGGTGGAGTTGGTGCTTCATCAGGGTCAGTCCTTAAGCTGGACAAGGTGAGACCTGAGCCAGCCTCCTGCTCCACCTCCTGCAGGTCTTCTGGCTGGTCACAGTTAACTGGTGTAGCGCTACGGCCACTTTCCTCCATCTCGTTCTCCTCCAGCGTTTGGTCCTTCATAGACTCTGTCAGTGTTAACTCCGCCTCTTCCTGCTCCGGATTGGTCGGTGGTGCCGGGAGGGCGAGGGGAGCAGGGGTGGGGCCAGCGGTGACAGACGCCAGTGTGCGGTTTCCGGGAATCTCGTCATCTGAGTTGACCTCACTGACGCTGCGGCTGTCCAGCGACTGGACGCTAAAGGAGTCAATACGCTCAAAGGCGTCGGAGGAAGAGCCGCAGCTTTCCGTCAGCTTAGGGTAATCGTCCAGACGGGGGAAATCTCCACAGGCAGAGGCCGAAAGAAGCTGGAAGGAACCTTGCATCAAGTGCAATCCTGCTTTAGCTTCTGCGGTTTCCTGCCTGGAGCTAGCTGAGCTTTCACTAATCACACTTTCGTGGTCCAGCACCTCAATATCACTGGTGGTGGAGGTACCAGAGGAGAAGGCGCTAACAGGAGGGGATGGGGTGTCACTTTGCCTGTCTTCCGCTTTAGGGTCCTTGGAATCCAGCATGATGTCTTTGGGCGGCACAGACAAAGTTTTGACTGGGCTTTTCGGCTCTGGAGGTCCAGAGCTATCGACATTACCCGCAGATCCAGATCCAGCCTCTATGGGCAAAGGTGCATCCACTTGTGTGACTTCCAGAGTTAGCCTGGAATCCTGAGACTCTGCTTTGCTCTCGCTGCTCTCTGGTTCAGCCTTTTGCTCTTGTGCAGTCAATGAATCAAGAGGAACAGGCTCAGGCTGTTGTGGAACACTATCTGCAGATGGTTGCTGGGGTGCACTGGCTGGAGGTGGCTCTTGTTCTTTTGGCTTGACCTCCACCAGGTTCACCTCTTCTGGTCCCAGGCTGTCACGTCTGTCGGAATCTGGCTGAGAAAGCTTGGAAGAGTCTACGTCATCCTTGCCAGCAGGTTTCGTCTCTTTGTCGGCTTTCTCCTGTATTCGGCTGTAGGATTTGGTCGGCGCCACGGACACCACTGAAGTCTTCTTGACTGTCTGGATGTCCCCGGGAGATAGGAAGGCACTGAAGAAGCTCTCAGATTCATCGACCACAGTGCGAGTGACAGGCTTGGTGATGGCCTCGGATGAAGGGGGAAGAGTCTTTGGGCATTCCTCTGAGGGTGAGACCCACTGATTCATTCCCCATCCTGTGGATACAGGCTTGGTTGGAGCATCTGGGAATAAAAAAGAAATCAAACATTTAAGGTAGACATTTAAACAACATTAAAAGCAGACGTTAAAGATATGTACAGTCTGCTACAATAACCATGCTACAACGACAGCCCATGCTCAGAGGTCAGTTCTAAGTACTTAAAAGTCTTTTCAAATGATAATCCCTTTGCTTCAACCTAATTATATTGTGAGGAAATGACTTTTTCCTCAATTCCATTTTAGCCATTCACATACAGTCTCTATTTCCCTCTTTGGGTTTAATTTCAGTTTATTTTGCTGGTGACAGCTGTTGGACTGCTTTGCTCACTTTGGAGCTTTAGCATTTTATTACAGACCAAAAAGTTCTTAAAGCGAGCAAAAAAAAGAGCCTCTAAAAACCTCCACAGCAGTTCTATGGGGAGTACTTAATGAGAAAGTACTGCAAAATCTGCATAATTAAATGGTTAAGATGTAGACAAGTGAGTTCAATGTGGTGATGATAGGAACTTCTGAAATGTTGAAAGCCTCTAAAAGCCTCACAGATAGTTATGACATTAAAAAGTTATGAATATGCTGACTGTTGCCTGAAACACTGTTTTATGATAGCTTTAAAATAAGTTTTAAGCCTACAACATTTTAACCCGTTCACGGCGGAGGGCGCTCCCAATCTCGCAAAACCTTTATCTTTATCATCATTACAAATAAAAAGTCATCTGACATATGTAGGTTCACTAGTCATTTTGGATAGTAAATAAAAGGGTTATATTCATGTCGTAATCCTAGTCACTATCAATCACCAAAAATGTAAATAAGTCAAGTTTCTATAAGGTGAACCATTTCACACTGCATTAAAGCATTTTGAATTATTTTCTCTAACATCTCAACAACTGAACTGTGCAGGATCTGTGTGTTTTAATCTGTGGAATTCCCCCTTTTAGGAATATTTTGTCTCCAGGCTGAGATTTGGAAGCTGGGTTTTTGAACCCAGGCCCGTGCTTCCTCAAAGTTGAAAACATTAGCTTGGCCTGCATTAACAAACAGCATACGTGCTTAGAGAAACACCTCTGTAAACATACGGCCCTATGGCCGCAAACAGATACCAGCTCCCGTTCCACATTTCCTAGACCACGTTTTTCTTTAGCACACCTCATTCATCAGACACAACAGAGTATCTTTTTGTTTGTTGAAAAAGGATCCTTCTGGTTTTCTTTGCAGCTCATTAGTTACAGTATCTGATATATGACTGAATCCCTTGGGAGCTGATATTGTCGCAGAAGAATATGACCAGGCAGGGTGAGAGGATTTGCCCTTTCTTTGAGAGGCCTTCATGGTTTTTCCGCTCTCTCCAAAACCCACAAAACTTCAATCTGAAGCGCAGTTTAAAGCAACAGCTTCGCCATATTCTTTCCTCATACAGATGACTTACAGTATTTTAAGGATGACCTTCACTGGAAAGGCTTTTAAAACTTCTGAACTGAAAATATGTAGGTCTTACTTACAATAACTAAACTGATTAAAGCTTGATACACTCGGACGCTTACCAACTCTTACAGCCTAGACAAGTGTGATGGTAGAAAAGCATTTAAGAACAATGTTTTCAAGAATCACACTTCTTCTTAGTACTATTCTTAAGAAATATAACCTAGTTAACCAAAAAATGAGACAATTCTTAAGAAGTTATTGGAAGATTTAAGAAGGTTTTCTTTCTTAAGACACTTTCGTGAATCCGATCTTTAGTTGATGATGAGAGGAACACACAGTAACCGTGCAGTGCAGGTGGGCCTTCAGATGAGGACAGGAGGAAAAGGGAAAAGGGAAACATTGCTGTCTTGCTTTCTATTTACCTGTCAAATTAAGCTTCTCCCTAAAACAGCCTCTACATAAGAAGCAAGCAAGAAACAGTTATCTAAAACCCACCCTCTAAAGCAGGTGCGATGCCATCCCCCCACTGGTCCTCTTCTTTTATGTCCAGAACTCGGTCGATGGATTTCTGGGCAGTTGTCAGAGCTTGTTTGGCGAAGCTGGACAGCTGGGAAGCGTTGAACCAGCTCATCTTTACTCTCGGCCGGCCAACTTAGCCAGCCAGGTTTCCTCAAGCAAGGAGAACTGTTATTTATGAAAGCGCTGGCTATCTTACATCATACTTTACAGAGAGTCTGAGTGACGCTGAGCTAATAAACAGAGTTATTACTGCCACCGTTAGCCTACTAGCCCGCTAGTTAGCGAGCTAGCCGTCCAACACAGCGCTCCCTGGACGGAGCTCAGTCCCGACGAATCCCATCGCTATTAAAAGCCTCAGTCGTCTAAAACAACGTAAAACAAAGTAAAACAACTTGGTGTCAGTCCGTTATTCCGGACATCGCGCTCAGTTCCTGAAGTCTCGGTTTGTTGTTGAAATTTAGCATGAATCTCCTTTCCGAGCTGACGGCGCTGCTGCTTCCTGTCCACGTAGCACTTGGGCCGTGACGTCACGCGGCCAGTCCCCGCCCACCTAGTTAATAATCGAATAAAAAAAATCAATTATGACTTAAATCTTTTCAACAAAGTTAAACATTCAAAAGCGCTTAAAACATTAAGGTAATTGTTTGTAAACATTTTAACATAAAAACAATATGATTTAATAAAGTTAATCCTTTTAACTTTTAACTTTTAATTACTTTATTTTTTACTTTTGTCTTTTTTCATTTGCCTTTTTTATTTTTAGTTACATTTTATATTTTTTGTAAGTGTATATTCTCCTGTTCATGTGTTCAAGCACACTGTTACATATACAGGGTGTCCCAAAAAAACTGACATCATCTGAGATGTGAATATCTGAGTAACTACATGTCCTGGCAAACGAAATTAAAAAAGGCTTCATGTTGAACAAAACAAGATTTATTTATTAAAATTCGACCAAGAAATTCAGAGGGATGTAGATTTTATAACCGATTTCACAAAGCTGCACAAATGTAATATCTTCCGATACTGGTGGTCGTCCAGATCCCTTCGTCCAGCACAGACAGCCTTCCTCTTTGAATTTTTTTGTGCTGTGTCCAAATCTGATTTCCAGTTGGTGCGTTTTTATTGAATTTTCTCAAAAATGTACGCTGCACACTCTTGTTTGACTGTGTTCGAGCATATTCTAACACACAAAACGCCTTTTCATTTCTAGTGAACGCCATTCTTCAACCTAAAAAAAACATTAAAAATTAAACTTGGTTAGTTTTTACACATTTTGCTAAAATTTGAGATCATTTGAGGGAGAATTGGCTGTTATTAGACTATGAAATGATGTCAATTTTTCTGGGACACCCTGTATTATGTATGACGTTAGCAAATATGATTTTTGATTGTGATACTGTTGTCATAATTTAGCAAAAAAATTATGAATAAAGTAAAAAAAGAAAAGGGCATAAAACACCATAATAAAATCCTCAAGCTCTCTTAAATGTTTTCCAAAGAAATTCCATTAGATCATCACATACTAGTGCAGCCACCCAGATAGCAAGCATACAGCAATTAGCTAGCTTATTTCAAAAGCATAGCTTTGTTAAAGGGGAATTCCACCAGTTTTTCAAAATTTCTGAATAATTTAGTCCTTGAGATGTAAACAGTCATTCAGAGAGGTCTGATGTAAAATGGTCCGCTGTAGAGAAACTTACAGACTCAGATTTCTTTACAGTGGTGGTGATAGGAACCAGGGGTTGCCATGTCTACAACACAAACACAGCCATATTATTTACCTAAAATTTTATCTAAAACTACCAGTGAACCTACACATGTCTTCTGTGTGTTGATATGTAATGTTTATTATGGTAAAATAAATCTGAAAAAATAAGTTTAGGGACTATTTTGCCTTAGAACACCTTTCATGCATCCCTCCGCCATGAATCAGTTCAAATAAACGAAGACCAAAACTTTATCGCAAAACTATCATAAAACAATGTCTCGGACAGCAGGCCGCGTATTCATAGTCATGTCATGTAATGACTTTCTGTGAGGGAGCTTTACAGGTCGACGTGTGGTTCCTATCACCACCATTCTGACCTGAAGTTTCTCTAGAGCAGAGCACCTCACACCAAACCACTCTGAATGACTTTGTTCACATCTTAACCAACTAATTACACAGAAATTTTGGAAAATCAGTGGAGTCCCCCCTTAAGATAGCATCAGGAATTTTTTCAATGAGAGATAGTGAGTGCAAAGTGGCAAAGGCTGAAAACCATACTGATTTTGAAGGTAGATGTCATTGAGGGTGGCAATGTTTTTGCAATGTTATTAATATTGTGAAGTGAGTAAAACTGTAATCACTGAAAAGATGATCATTCTTGTTCACTGAAATGTACAAGTGGAGAGTTTTAATAACATATTTTAATAAAGGAATCTATTGGGAAGCAGCACATCAGTAAACACAATTAAAGAGTTACTGAACATTGTAAATGTATCAGTGAAGAAACGTGATGGAGGCAGTTTAGGCCATAAAGTTGTTTCCAGGAAATTTTCAGCAAAAGAACATGGGACCTTGAAACATAGGTGTTACATTTGTGTTTGCGTGTCTCTCTCTCCCGGTCTCTCCCTTCACAGGTGTACCTGCTTTGCAATCAGTCAGGTGAGGAGGACCTATGACCAATCAGAGGCTCTGGTATAACTGGAGGAGGAGCTTAAGCATTAAAAGGAAGCTTTCAAGATGGCCAGATAGAGAGGATTGGTCATGTGTGTCCTGTGGTTTAAAATCTTGTGTTGGGAGTGAGCTTTTCTTTTAGGTATTTTACCGGCGCTTCTTTTAACATCATTTACAAGACTTTGTCTCTTGTGTAGGAGAAGTGCTTGAGTTTTGGTGTTTTACATGCACACTCAACTTTTGTTTCACAAAAGATTGTCTGATTATTTGTTCCACCTGGGTTTTCAAACTGGTAAGAGAAGAGCGCCTATACTTTTGCACTATGTAGAAGTCGACTCTGTCTAGTTCCTTAGGTCAGAGGGTGGGCATTGCCACATGTATTTTTAACCACTGGCCAGAGAAGTGTAGAATAGTTAGCTTTTGTTTCCTTTTTGTAGGTTAGCTAAGCACTTTTTGTTTCAGTGTAGGCAAGCATGGTTAGGTTTTTTGTTTTGTTCTTTGGTGCTGTCCACAGTTTGATTCTTCCAGTGTGGTACTAGGTATTATAGCATGGCATTTTATTGTGGTTGGTTTTAAGAAAATGGTTTTAAAAGCTCTATTGGTCGGTTCCCCAAGCTCAGGGATCGTAACATTTGGGGGCTGGTCTGGGATAAATTGGTCGGTTCCCCAAGCTCGGGGGTCGTAACATTTGGGGGCTGGTCTGGGATAAAGGGTGCCAGGTGGGTCTGGACAGGTGTTCTTCCAGGTCATGTCAGAGGGGAGAGAGTCCTGAACGTCTCATTTTCTCTTACGACCTGACTCTAGACAGGATTGTACCTATAGGGCTGTTTCAAAAACATTTCAATGAGCAAATAAAGGGCCTTTGGAAGACAGAAAATTGGGATTACCCTATTGTAACAATAGAGAATTTTTTTTTTTAAAAAGTGATTTGGGAAAAGTGCAGCAAACAAGGTGTTCCTTAAATATGGAAAACATCTATGAAATATGTATTGTAATCTCCCCAAGTGAGTAAAACATGACCTTTTAAGGGTTATCGTAAGAATCTGTTTAATGCCCTTTGAGACTCGTGACCTAGTTATCAAAATAGTTATCTTGTGCCAGTTTATCATTACTGGCACTGCAGGGTAAAAAGCTGATAAACATGACTAATGTAGGACAGGAAACCTTCAAACAAGTAATCAGTTTATTTAAAATGTTTTTTTTCCCTATATTCAGATAGCAAAACAAATTAAATATGTTCATATAAGTAACTACAAAAAACAAGTGCAGATGTGGCTTCTACAGTACATGACTAGCAACACACAATCTGAAGGTATGAGTGTCTCTGAGAGTGGTGCATTGCTTCAAAAGATGGACTTCATCCACATATCGCTCATACGTGGAAGTATCAGGAATGCCATTGGTGTTCTTTCAAATGTTCATGGTCAAACCTGCTCTGCATATTTTTGGCAAGAAGCTGTGACCACTTTTGTACCCTGAAGAGAGAAGCAGACTGTCTACGAGGTAAAGCTGAGCTTGAAGAGAACAGTCTGAGGAGTGGTGACATCAGCCACCGCCAGCTCCTGTCCATCCACTAACCCCAATTCTGCAAAATTAAAATCAACAGTGTGTATATATATGTAAATAATGCATGTGACATTACAGGATTAAACAAAGGATATGCAACATGGTTACTGATGTAATTATATCCTGGAACTTTCCTGACCTTTCAGTGTCTTGCTAAGATTCGGACGTGTTCTCTCTTCAATGGAGGCGACGGTCTGTAAACAAACAAACATGGGTCCAATTTGGCCCTTTAAACTTCTATTCTTTTATAAACATATTTAGTAAGCAGAAAAAAAACTGCTCACAATAACACAAACATCAGCAACATTTATTAGGCTGCATTTAATCATCAAGATTCCAAAAATTAAAACAATAAACTTCTTTGAAAGGGTATTGATTCTTGTGCATGTGATATCACTAACCTGCAAATAAAGCGTCTTATTCTTTCCATCTACTGTTGTTGTGATGGCTGGAGATTTCATTTGCCTACAGGAGAGAATGATCTGAAATATTAAAGTAGAATTAAAGCAAACGTTTTTATACATATATACACCGATCAGGCATAACATTATGACCACCTCCTTGTTTCCACGCTCATTGTCCATTTTATCAGCTCCACTTACTATATAGGTGCACTTTGTAGTTCTACAGTTACAGACTGTAGTCCATCTGTTTCTCTGCATACTTTGTTAGCCCCTTTTACCCTGTTCTTCAGTGGTCAGGATCCCCATGGACCCTCACAGAGCAGGTGGTGGATCATTCTCAGCACTGCAGTAACACTGACGTGGTGGTGGTGTGTGTTGTGTGTTGTGCTGGTCTGAGTGGATCAGACACAGCAGTGCTGCTGGACAATGAGCGTAGAAACAAAGACAATGGTCATAATGTTTTGCCTGATCTGTGTGTGTGTGTGTGTGTATGTATGTATGTATGTATGTTTATATATATAAAAAGGAAGGGCCTGGGTTCAATTCCCAGCCGGGCAACCAGGATCCTTTCTGTGTGGAGTTCTCTCCCATGTTCTCCCCGTGTCTGCGTGGGTTTCCTCCGGGTACTCCGGTTTCCTCCCATGGTCCAAAGACATGCAGTCAGGCCAATTGGACATGCTAAATTGCCCCTAGGTGTGAATGTGTGTGATTGTATATGTATGTCTGTCTGTTTGTCTGCCCTGCGATGGACTGGCAACCTGTCCAGGGTGTATCCTGCCTTCCACCTAATGACAGATGGGATAGGCTCCAGCACCCCACCGCGACCCAGAAGGATAAGCGGTTTAGATGATGTGTGTGTGTGTGTGTGTGTGTGTGTGTGTGATTCTCACAAGACCACTATTTTGAAAATGAGAAATTCTTGTTACTTCTTACTGTTTGTTTATTTGCATTTATTATGATGATATACAGTGATTTTACAATCACAAACACACTTAAGATAATTGGTTTTAAATAATGTGCTTAAGTGCCTGAGACTTCTGCACAGCACAGTATAACTGTGTGTACTATATAACTCAACTAAATATCATTTATTTCAGTGTTTAGGGTGTCAATTCTTTGTCTTTATCAAAGCTTTTATTCTTCTAACACGAGACGTGCTTTCAGTTTTTCACAGAAATCTGCAGGGATATTTTTCCACATCTCCAAAATTCAGTCTTAGACGTTTTCTGCTTCTGATAAACCATGTAACTCCAATCTCAAATTTAGGTTCATCAGTCCATAAAACCTTCCTCAGGATCTCAGACATCCAGTTTCAGTGTTCTAGTGTGATCCTTTACTCAGTAACAGCTTCTCGACTTCAGCTTGACAGCAAGAGTAAGCTCGATGTTCTCCACTCTCTCAAAGATAAAAGCTTTGAGTGCTGTTTATCTGATTGGGACGGTTTTGGTGGTCTGTCAAGTCTTGCATGGTTGTTGGTCCCATTTTCTGTCTTTTTTTTTTTTGAAATTCTTGTTTTTTCACTTACTTTCTCTTTACTTTCACCATGCAGGTAAAGTATATCTAATATCTATCTCATATTATTGTCTTATATCTAATCTTCTCAGAAACATCCCCTTTAGATGTACAAGAGAAACATAATCTGAAGGCAGCTGAGACGAGTTTGGGTGTCTGTTTGATGGGGAACACAATGTCTGTGAGATCTTTGGGAACAGATTTTGCTGGGAGAACACAGCTGTGAGTTGTTGGTTTTAAGATTGGAAGGATGGAAGAGAGAAATATGTTTTTGTCTGACACTGAAAAATTTTGTATTTAATGGCCACTTTGACTGGAAATTAAATAAACGAAAGGGTGGTCCCTGACTTTTGTACAGTACTGTATATATAATTTTTAAACTACAACAACAATGCTGAAGTGTACTAGCTACTTTGGCTAAATGTAAATTGTCTGAAGAAGCAAATAAGAGCATTTTTAACTCACAGGGACACACTGTCTGTCAAGTAGTTTAGCACTTCCTGTAGTGTGGCTGATGATGAGAAATGCATGTCTTGAGGGACCTGGCTGCAGGCAGAGCAGTTCTCCTAAACACAGACACACATATGCATACAAACAAATGCATTTGGATCTAGTCGATTATTTGACTGCACACATAATCTTGTTATGCCAGAAGAGTTTTGAGAGCAGACTGTTTACCAGTCACCTTTTTAGAATCAAAAAGAGAACCAGAATCACTACATTTGCATAAAATGTAAATATGTCTTTGGCACTGGCATTAAACCCATAAACACAACATTTGCATACTAAGGTGAATGAAGTAAAGTAAAAGTGAGCAACTGATTAACAGCAATAGAAATGATGCATTTTTTACACCGGCATTTCTAATACATGGCAACAGTATAAGAAACTATTCTTGTTTTGCATATTATATTACTCCATTTTTCAAATTATAAACTTCTGCCTAATCAGCAAAGCAGTTAAAGGGCCCATATCCTACAATTTTCTTGTAGTTTATTTTTTTTCCTGTGAGGTTCACTTACAGTTGTATGCATAAGTAAGTTTGAACAAATGACATGTTTTGTTGAAGTGAAAATAAGTTGACACATCCTTTATAGGAACACATTTAAATATGCAAATTTTAGCACACAGTTTCTACAGTCATAATTTATTTCATATGACCATTTTACAACCTATCTTTATCCCTTAGTATTAAAAAAGCTGTTTTTGTTACTGTACCTTTAAGACTGATATATGTAATTGACCTCTGTTCCGAGTTTCATTTAAAAGGCAGTACAGGCTCAAACACACCTCATAACTTCATCATGAATGGGTGGGTCTAAATTGCTGCATGCGATTTTGTGATGCAGTGACATCACAAAAACAATGCAGGCTTTTTGCAGCTTAGTTTCCATCTATGGTCTGTGTGGACTAAATGGTACATGTGGTACATGCTTATATAAGTTTATACAACAAATTCTTTATTTTTTAAGGGAGAAAAAATTCAGTTTTCCACAATACAGGCCCTATAAATCACATGCTTTGCTAAAATTTCCAGTTTGCTACTGCTACTAATTATTCCTAAAAATCCATGAAACAAACAGCTGAAAGTCACATTTCATCTACTGACCTTTTTCTCAGCCTCAAAAGTGTAGGTGTACAGTCCATCAACATCATTAAACACCAGGTAGTTGTTCAGGGTACTGTAGGCACTGTCAACACACATATAAAGCACTTGTAGATCATATTCCCTACAATTTCAGGACTCTCTAATTTCACTCTACAGCAACAGGACAGTTACTAAGCTATTAGAGCAGGGGTCGGCAACATGCAGCTGTTTTACTGCCCTGTTGTGGCTCCACAGCAGAATTAGATTTATAGGTAAAAATAAAATAAGTAAAGTAAAGCTCTGCCGATCGTTCAACACAGTTTTAACGATAAATGGTCTTAAACGCTGGAGTTAATGTAGAACTGCTAATTCACCCTTTAACCCTAAAGGTTGGCACGCAGACTGCTGGTCACCATAGCAATGCAGAAAAATAATCTTGCCTTGCTAGTAGCTAACAAAAAGGTAAAAAGAAGGATTTAAGACTGACATCGATGATTTGAAGACAGATGGACTTTGCATTTATAATCACTCCACCTGGTTTCCTGATACGTTTAATCTGCAACGAGAAACTGTCAAACACTAAAAAGTCGCGAAGCTGAAGTCGCTTCTCATTAGATTTTTCCCGTTCCACCTTAAATGGTGCAGCAGTTACATTCTGGAGCGTCAGGCGCCATTTAAGGTGGCACGAGAAAGTTCGAACAAGAAGCTGGCGAATGAGAAGCGACTTCAGCCTCGTAAAAACTCGAACATTGAGAGACGTTCTAGTGTTGTTTCCTGACGGAGATGCGAGAAAAGCGGCTATAGCTGAGCTAAAGCTTAAAGCAGAGCAAAGTAAGTCTGCATTTTCGTTAATATTATATTTTTTAGCCCATACTAGTACTTTAGCACATATTGAGACATATTTACAGCCAAGATGGTGAAATAGATTTATAAAATGTTGAGGCTCCCAAGGTGGTGTGATTTTTGTTGAAAGGACAAAATGGTTCTTCTTAACATTTGGGTTGCTGACCTCTGTACTAGAGCTACTGCAGAAGCTACCTAAAACAAAACTATCCTGACATTTCATGCTTTTTTTAATCAAAACCAAATGGGGAAAAAAGTCTAAATTGCAGACTCAAGCCTAATAACATAGTAAACAGAATGTAAACGTAATTACAATACATATGTAAGCAATTATGAAATTGCACGTAAATAGTACAGCAAAACAGCAGTGATAACACTAGACTTCAAAAGCTGAAATTCTGTTTCTCCTACTGACACTGTGTTTAATTAATATGGCTCACCTGGAGGCGATTTTGAAAACCTCTGTGCCGCAGGCAGCTGAAATGTGAAGGCAGAATAAACAGTGTGATGTGGTTCAGTTCTTACAGCATCATGTGGAATGAATGACAGCATGTCTGGGTTGGTGAGTGCAGTCCTCAGTCTGTCCCTCTTACCAGCAATGACAGCATTCGTGGAAGCCACAGCAGGGATGATCCTCTTCACAACACCTGCACCATTAGAAAACACTGATTAACTCTTACATAGAGTTATGTGCAAAGGTTTTGGTGCCTCTGCACAAACAACATTTTATTGATTTTCTATGCGACATCCTCTACAGAGAACATACTTCTGCACATTGTGTTGCACTATTACTGTTTATTTGCTGAATTTAACATGCTAGAAAAAAAAACATATGTGGTCTGTGCAAAAGTTTAGGCATTTTTTATATTTTATGTTTTTGTCTAATACATGAGATAAAAAGCTATTGCTTTACATCTTTTATTTCTTTATTTATTTCATTAATTATATATTTTATTTATCCTTATTTTATCTCATTTATTAAGTTACTATACTGTTGTAATTCTAATAGTTTACTGATTCATTTTTTAAATTTACTATTATGATTGTTATTACTTTTTCAGCATTTTATATGTTTTTGCTATTACCTTCTCAATCCCTGATTTCTGTATTTGCTCAGCTACACTGTAAATGAGGGTCTCCCTCAACGTACTCAGAGTTTAAATAAAGGTTGATTGATTGATTGATTGATTGATTGATTGACCAAATAAGCAGAAATTGTGCACTAAAATTTGCAGACAATTGTCATATTTAAGTCTGTTCTCTGTACAGGACGTTAACATATTTTCACTTAAAAATCAACAAAATGTGTCATTTTACCAGGGATGTTCAAACTTTTGCATACAACTGTATATCAACAGCAAAAGCCTTAAATCTGTCATTAAATACTGCACCATACTGCAGGTACAGTTTTTCTAACCTAACTGTGCTTTAACCCTTAAACATTACTTAAACCCTTTAACCCCTAAACATCTAGAGTTATCACCATTCTGCTATGCTGTTTAAACATGTATTAAATAAAATTAGAACATCCTCTGCAGGGAAAATCAACAACACCTGTCGTTTGACCACGGGTGCCGAAACCTTTTGCATATGACTGTATATTGGTCAGGCTCCAGTGTCTGTATAAATTTGAAGCAATAAAGTCACTCTTTTGTTCTCACTCACCTTGAGTTAATCTGTATGTCACCCCTGTGATGTTGAACTGAGCCGCTCTCTCCAAAGATCTCTGGAACACCCACTGGATGTGCTTCGGGTCATCTCCATCTAGAGCAACACCATCTGAGGGCACAGTGCATGTCACTGTTTATCTGTTTATTTACTTATTTAACATTCTTTTGATCATGCCACACAAAATCTTGCAAACAAACTTGGTCATGATATTCTGACCCATCAAGCAAGAACATTAGAGAGTTGATGGACAGCTTTAAAATGTTCAAGAAAAATGCATATAAAGCTAAACAGCTAGTATAAAAAACAATTCTGCATCTGTCTTCAGTCAGTTTACAGAACTTGTTGACTCTTCAGTTCCATCTGTATGATTTAGCGGATGCTCAGATTGCTCACAGGCAGTGAGGACTTACCTCCAAAGGGCTTGTCTTTAGGCCACTGCAGAATGCGAACATACTCGATACAGTGTTCAGGTAACCGTGGCATTGAAGCTATAGTGCACATGGGGAAGTTTATCTGAAATGAAGAAAAGCAAATATATAGTTATTTTCAAATTCAAAACAAGGAACGATCAAAGCATGAGAATGTTGTTAAACTAGAAACAATGTTTTCGTCTTTAAACCACAAAATCCAGACAGGTTCTGCTACCCACTCAGTATAATTACTGTAATAACAGCACACTGGAAAAGCTAATTTTCTGTTATTTAAATTACTTACCGGTAAAATTACATTCTTGATAAATCTGAGCCACCTAAACCTCACACTCTGTGAATTTATCACATGTTGGGTTGGGATACACTGATGTATATATAACAATCCTACAGAAAATACCACTTCAAATGCAAACTACCATTCCTAGAGCTCGACTGATACGTCAGTTGGTTAAAAAAATAACTAGATACAGACGACCCATGGTATTACTGGTATTGACAAAAATATCACAGATAATGTGCCAATAATTATGAACATTTTTGGTTGCGGCATCGCCAGGAGTCAAGCTTGCAATCCCTCAACAACAGATGGAAACTTAGTCAGGCATAAACAGTATGATTTTAGAAATATTGATCTTTAGTGGCAACTCTGCATGTTGTTTACAGCCAAAGCCTGTGATTTGTGTGCTCATGCTGTACAAAAACGCACAGTCTAATTGACAAGCTATGATGTGGGTGCTCACATTATACATAAAATGCGACCCCTATGGATGGTTCTGTCTACAGACAACTTTCAATGTTGAGCAGCTGTGCTGACTAAACTAAAAGCAGGAAAACAAGATGTACACAGGTAAGGGGGGACCAAATCAGGGCTAAAACAGACTAAAATCGCATAATGTATGCCTGGTTGTGCCACAGAGGAACCCAATAAGACTTACCTATATCACTTAAGACTTTACTGTATCACATCAATACAGACTGAACTTGTAAATCTTGTAACCCCAAGGTTAAAATAACAACAACATGTAAAATTCATCCAAACCTTACCGTCAGCATGATCATAACATAACATAAAAAAGATTTTATGAAGAGGTGATAGGAAAAAATAACAGAAACCAAAACCACAAAGGATTCTGGGTAGCTCCACCCCCAACCTACAATATATATATAGTATATATAATTTAAGACTGAGAGGTTTTTTTTTTTTGTATTTTAAGTTTACAAAGTGTGACAATGGAGAACTTACACCAGTCACGCCAGTCGGTAAAGCACTGTTTAACCCCTGAAATGGCCAAGGCCAAGCAGTGGGCCCAAAGTTTTATTACAGACTTATATAATCTAAGAATAGCTCAGCCAGTTTGCACTGAAGTCCCTGTAGTTACTGAATAATAAGCCTTAGTATGTAATAAGCCTGGGATTTTAAGGGGTTAAGGAAAATTATTGAAGTGTAACATTAAAATCTAAAATATAAATATAAAATCACATGGCTGATGTTACTGGCTGTCAGGAGATATCAGCCAGCAATTGGAAGGTCGCAGGTTCAAATGCCAGGACAGACTACATATTCCTGGTTGTGAAATGTGAACCGGCAACCAGGTCACAGGTTTAAATCCCAGGACTGACTGGGTATTCCTGGTTGTGAGATACAAGACAGCAACCAGAAGGTCATGGGTTCAACTCCCAAGATTGACTGGGTATTCCTGGTTGTGAGATGTGAGACAGCAACCAGAAGGTCATGGGTTTAAATCCCAGGATTGACTGGGTATTCCTGGTTGTGAGATGCAAGACAGCAACCAGAAGGTCATGGGTTTAAATCCCAGGATTGACTGGGTATTCCTGGTGGCCCCCTTGGGCAAGGCCCTACTACCTCAAGCGGCACTGCTCTGCTGGCAATGCTGTGCTGCTCTCAGACTGGGCATAGTTAGCCAGCAAAATGACAAATTTCCCTTTTGGGATCAACAGAATATAAAATAAAGTTAAAATCTGCACGCCTACAAACTCAACCATGCATATGCATGTAAATTTCACCTGAGGGGGATACAGCTCCAGAGTGCAGTCGATGCAGGCCGTCATGCCTGGAAGGATGACCCGTGAGTTTCCCTTAAAGCCCTCAGTACCTCCATCTATCAAAGGGATGATGGAGCTGGTGTCCAGAACACCGTCATCATAGACCAGCAGAGAGAGCTGAAACAGCACAACACTGTAAGTGTATCATCTCTCACTCTCACTTTTTCCATTCTATTCCAACAGCCAAACAATTTTTCGCTTTAAAAAAATATATATTACACATACCAGCATTCCATTTATCCATCGTCTGGCAATGACAGAGTCCAGTCCACAAACAATAATGTGAAATTCTGTATTTAAAGAGAAAAAAAAGATCAAACGGTCGCCTGAAGCAAACAATGAACACGTCTGTTACTGATTATGTACAGTATGTACAGTATGTCAGCAAATATATATATATATATATATATATATATATATATACAGATGTATATACATGTATATATATATATATATATATATATATACACACATGTATATATATATATATATATATATATATATATATATATATATATATATATATATATATATAAAAGTAAGAACATAAAGGTAGGGAAACTAAACTCTTACGTCTATAAAACATCTCATCAAGATCCTGGATTTTCTTAAAATGTCTGGGTCTGTAGTTAAGGAACCAAATTTGAATCATAAAAATGTAACTTTCTTTTAAAGTCTGCACAATCATTTATGAATTTAAAAACCTCCCCAAATGAAAGAGGACAGGAAAACATGACAACAGAAGCATTGTCTCTTTAAAGATGGATACGGCACGACCCTGCATCCTGGAACTCTTCTGTTGATGAAGTCAGCAGCAACCTCCGCTTTCGGTCGGCCCACGTCTTTAGGCCTTTACAAATATTAAACAATAATATTAAAATGAATGAAAATGGCATTTCACTTTGATTTAACATGTTTCACTTAAAGAGACATTTTTAAAAATTCCTGCATGATTCATTGGTTGAGATGTAAACAAAATCATTTTGTTGTGAAATGGTTCATTGTAGAGAAACTTACAGACTTGGATTTCTTTACAGTGGTGCTGACAGGAACCACAGCATTGATAGGTGGTGACAGGTGACAGTGGCTTTATACAGCACAAACGTAGCCACTTTATTAACTGTCCAAAACCAACACATTTCTTTGAATTTTTACATGTACTGTTGATACCTGTGGTAAATCTGAAAAATATGTTTTGTCTGGGGAGTATTTTGCCTCAACACGTTGCATGTACCACTTCCCCACTAATAAAATATGCAAAAACATACATGTTATCTAAAAAACTAAGAAAAAACATTGGGCCTCATTCACCAACCGTTCTCAAGAGGATATTTCTTCTTAAAACCCACTCACACAGTTTTTACAAAGTTTCTGGCATTCAGCAATGTTTTCTTAGGTAAGAACAGAATCTACACACACTCAAGAGCACAAAGGTGCGAACAATTCAGAGGCTTAAAAACACGTCATGAATCTGATGTGGACTTTTTTTCAGGACGTTTCTTAAGAACAAATTTAAGAAAAAACTTAGGATGATACTGATGCATGAGGCCCAATGTCTCAGGCATCAGGCAGCATGCCCATAACCATTTTATGGAATAGCCTTCTGTGAAGGAGCTTTTAGAGACATTAAACTCTTCAGACGTCTGGTTCCTATCACCACCACTATGAACAATTCTGACTTTTCTAGAATGAAGCATCTCACATCAAACCACTCAAGCAAATAAACAGAAAGTTAAAACATTAGCAAAAAAAAAGGAATAGCAGAAAGTTACTTAATGCTGACCTGAAGAGAAACTGTCTGTTCAGGTTAGAAACATCTATTGTGTCCATGTCGACCACGTGTATGTGACGGAATCCTGACAGGGCCTAAGGGTGGATCGAAACATGACAAAATAGGGGGGAAAATATCAATACATTAAAATTAGTGCAAGACAGATTACTGTAAATGTTACCGAGATGTAAAACTGAGCATTAATTCTTTTTAAGATCAGTGTCTTACACTGACTGATTCCAAACAGACTCAAGTATAGATGTTATTTATTGATTTTATGGCACTTTATTTTGATGTGTTATGCTTTCACAGATGTCACCTTTTATCAGTATCAGTGAATAGGATTCTTACACCTAATTAAAAATGTGTTACAAAATACTGCTATGGCTGGAAAAAAAACACAAAAAGATAACATACTTCTCTCTTTAACATAAAAAACGTAAATAAAATAAAGTCTGATTTTACCAGGTCCTTTAACAGCTCACAGCCCAGTCCGCCAGCTCCAATGACCAAAATTTTGCACACATCCAACAAAAACTGCAGAGACTGAAGGAAGTTTGTTAATAATAACTCCTAATAAACAGAGGTCTGCACTCACAATAAATTGTATAGCATATTTTAACAAACTTTACTTTACTAAACCATTACTTTCCCAATATATTATGCCACAAAATGATCAGAAACGTCGCAAGAGGTTTAGAAGCAGGCAAAAGACATTATATTTATTTATATTATATTTTGATCAATTAATCAACTTGTATTTAAACTCAGAGTACACTGAGCGTGACCCCCATTTACAATGTAGCCAAGCCTAAAGAGAAATTAGATTACGGGAAAAGAAGAATGTTGTCTTTTAAATGGTATGGCATGATGAATGCTGTCGGAACAAAACCTCATATCTCCATTTTTGTCATTTTTCAGTTTTTGACATAATCTGAAAATGCCTGTTGTCCTTCACTTTTCATGTAAATTTCATGATGAATGGATGAAAAAAAACTGCTCAAAATAACTCGGAAAAAAGTCTGGTTCCAATAACTTACATTAAAAGTAAAGTAATGTTTTTTCCTTCTCCTGTAAAGTTACTACTTTGGAGATACGAGGTTTTGATCCGACAGCAGCGATATACTACCTGATGCCTGAGACATTGTTTTGCAACAGTTCTGAGAAAAGAGTTTGGTCATGCAGGTCATTCTAAGGCAAAATAGTCCCCACAGAAAACTTATTTTATCATTATTGCATCATTAACTATAACTAAATGTAAACCTCAGGCACGTGCAGGTTCACTGATCATTTTGGATGAAATGGCTATAATGAAATCGTAGTTGGTAAGTTCCTCTACAATGCACCAATTCACACCAAACCACTCTGAATCACTTTGTTTATGCAACAATTGAGTTGAAAATATGGGGGAATTTCCTTTTAGTAGGGATTGTCCCATTTAAATCCTTTTCAGCCCTCAACTTGTCTTAAACATGCAATTGGAAATAAAGTTCCTAGTACACTTTGTGGCCAACGAGCCTTACTAGGAGTTTGTTTTTTTCTACCTCTGTGCTGGGCTCAAAGTCAGGATGGGTGAAAGGTCCAGCCCGCTCCAGGAACTTCTTCACATGGTCCCATCTTCCCTGCCAGTCACTGGTGGTCCCATCCACGAGCATACTGTAGAGAGAGAGAGAGAGAGAGATAGATAGAGAGAGAGACAGAGAGAGAGAAAAAGAAAGAGAGAAAAAGAAAGAGAGAAAGAGAGAAAGAGAGAGAGAGAGAGAGAGAGACAGAGACAGAAAAAGAGAGAGAGAAAAAGAAAGAGAGAGAGAGAGAGAGATAGAGAGACAGAGAGAGAGAAAAAGAAAGAGAGAGAAAAAGAAAGAGAGAGAGAGAGAGAGAGAGAGAGAGAGAGAGAGAGAGAGACAGAGAGAGAGAAAACAACTTTATGTCATGTGGTACCTACAACTGCACTTCTTACTACAAAGCTTCATTCAAAAATCCATACATTGCCCTACAGTTTAAAAAGTTTTGTTGATTTTCTAAGTGAAAATAAGTTTACACATCCTCTACAGAGAACACACTTAAATATGCAAATTTTCTGCAAACTTTAATGCACAATGTCTATTTATTTGCTGAGTTTAACATGAAAAAAATATACACTGCAAAAATGACACTGTAACATTACAGTAAATTACTGGCTATTGGTTGCATTACCTGCAAAATAACAATGTACTGTATTAACAGTAAATCGCAGCAAAATAACAACTGTACACTATGACTTCACAGTCACCTGAACCACGGGATTCCTGTAATGCAGCTGTATTCTGCTGTACACTTACACTAACAATTTGTAAATAAAAAAAAAACCCACAAAATGTAATTTACTGTATTTTTTACATAAAGTCTATAAAAGTAATGCAACTAGATATACAAAAAACCCAAATATGTTAATTTAAAAAACTGTATCAATGAACATTTTCTATTTTTAAAGTGCAATTTTAACTTTGCTTATAATGTGCATAAGCATAGACAAAAAAATAATATGGAAAATATGGATAAACAATGAAATTTGTTTGAAAAGTCTTACAGACATCAAAATCTGAAGTTTCACATTAAAAACACTTAAAATGTCTTTATTCAAATGTTAATACCTTTTTAACACTCATTTTTCATACAGTTGTGGCCTAAAATTCAATATCAACCTCAAATGTTACTGCAAAAATATTTCAAGATGAGTTGATTTCAAAATAAATAATGAATTGAATGAAGTGTACAGCTGTGTGTTCTCTTGTTCTTATTTCCACTTAGAGAACCAATAAAAACATGTAATTTGACCAGGGCGGCCTAAAATTTTGCTTACGACTGTATGGCGTTTAATAACCATGCACATTATGACCAAACATAAGTGACCTGTACTTTGCCGGTTAATGAGCTATCATAATGTTATTATTACTAGTTCATAACATCCATGGTTATGTGGCCTAGTTAAACATTACAGTCACTACTAAATAATTATCTTTATATCAAATTCACAGAATAACCAGTACGGAGCCTCTAAGGTGACATGGTGATTATTTATGAATAAGGCACGTTACTCAAGTCCACAAGTTACTATATTGAGGCCATGAATTATTATAATGAGGCCACAATTTACTATACTAAGGCCACAAATTAATATATTCATGCCACAAGTTATGAGAAACTTAACTTGTTTCCTAAATATATTAATTCATGGCCTCAATGTAGTGACACAGAAAAACCAGTACGGAGCCCCTAAAGTGACACGGTGATTATTTTTTAATAAGGTGTGGCCACAAATTAAAATAATGAGTCCACAAATAACTACACTGGTGCCACGAATTACTGTGTTGAGGCCATGAATTATTATAATAAGGCCACAATTTACTATACTAAGGCCACAAATTAATATACTAAGGGCACAAATAACTACAATGATGCCACAAATTACTATACTGAGAGCATAAGTTATGAGAAACTGAACTCGTTTCCTCAATATATTAATTTATGGCCTCAATATAGTAACTTGTGACCTCTATATATTGATTTGGGGTCAATCCCACTTTCCTGATGCAGATTAAGCCTAACTAAATCATTCTCTATTCCCATTATGACTAGTAATTAACCATTTGTACTCATTTCAATATTAATAAGTACTCCACGTATTTAATAAGTACTCCAATATTTAACTCCACGTTAAATCCGTTATATCTGAGTATCACTGTGTGGTCTAATTGACATTAAATCAGCATAAAGGACGTTAAAGAGGTTTATTGGGCTCTACTGCGCTGTATCCTTCTCATTTACGATCAACATTACTGATCTTTCACTTCACTAACTCCTCAGTCAGCGCCTCTATCCTGCTTCTCTTCTTCTCCCTAAAAAGAGAGAAGGAAAGGAGGTTCATAAGTGCTCCTACAGTCTCAAAATCGCCCTGAACATTTCTAACAAGTCACGGCGGAAAACAGCATTAGTGTTCTGGGAGCGGAGTCGTTTCTCTGACTTTTTTAAGGAAATGTCACTCACGGTTCTTCTGTTTCCGCCATGTTCGCATGATCCAAACATACGTGCGGTGAAGTCTCGCGAGGCTCTGACGTCACATGTAAACAACAGCCTCCTCACGTGTTCTGGCAAAGAAATTTGGGGATTTAAAATCTTTTATGGGTTTTAACGTAAATAGCGAAAATAAATAAATATTACATAAATATTACATAATATCTAGAGCAACTACTTTTATTTACTCAGTTACAAGGACTAAAATTTGCTGAGTATTGCTGCTTACAACAATTATATATACTACTATATATATATATATACATATATATATATATATGTGTGTGTGTGTGTGTGTGTGTGTGTGTGTGTGTGTGTGTGTGTGTGTGTATACATTGTATACAGGGTGAAAGGGGGCTAACAAAGTATGCAGAGAAACAGATGGACTACAGTCTGTAATTGTAGAACTACAAAGTGCACCTATATAGTAAGTGGAGCTGATAAAATGGACAATGAGCGTAGAAACATTTTCATTCTATAATGTTGGTAACAGCATCTGTTCTGATTTATTGTTTACAATCCTCGTTTTGGAGCTTAACATTTTATTTTAGACCAAAAGTGCAATAAAACAGAAAAGAGTATAACGAACTGCTATGCTGATAGAAGCTGGATGTACTGAGAAGCTCCACCACAGATCTACGCAGAGCTCAGAACTTTTCTACTTCTACTCAAGTTTTCTTTCTTTTTTTTTTTTAATGAATCTTTACTTTTACTTCAGTCGTTATTTAAGCAAACTAACAACGTGTTTACTTGAGTGTGGGTTTAAGCTACTCTACACGTGTCTGATATTATCTGAGTGTGTGTGTGTCAATAAGAGGAGCTGTGTGTCCAGCAGAGGGAGTCTCTGTATGTAAAGTAGAGATGGACAGTTAAGGCAGAATATCTGATGAGCATAAACATCTGCTTTTATGATGTAGAGATTTCATGAAACAACATTGCCCATTATGTGATTTTCCTGAGAAAAAAAAAGAAATAAAATGGTCGTATTTCCACAGGAAATGCTGTCTCTCTCTCTCTCTCTCTCTGTGTATATAAATACACATATATGTATTCATATATATATTTATGTACGTGTATTCCTCTCCCTCCTTCACTCTCTTTTTCTTTCTTTTTATCCCTGTATCCCTCTCCCTCGTTCTCTCTCTCTCTCTCTCTCTCTCTCTCTCTATCCCTGTATCTCTCTCCATCGTTCTCTCTCTTTCTCTCTCTCTCTATCCCTGTATCTCTCTCCATCCTTCTCTCTCCCCATCCTTTTCTCTCATCCTCTCTTTTACTGTCTCTGTATCCCTCTCCCTTCTTCACACGCACTCTCTCTTCCTGTATCCCTCTCCCTCGTTCTCTCTCTCTCTCTCTCTCTCTCTCTCTCTCTATTCCTGTATCTCTCTCCATCCTTTTCTCTCCCTCTCTTTTACCATCACTGTATCCCTCTCCCTCGTTCTCTCTCTCCGTCTTTCGATCCCTGTATCTCTCTCCATCCTCCTCTCTCTCCCTCCTCTTCTCTCTCCCTCTCTTTTACCATCCCTGTATCCCTCTCCCTCCTTCACACGCACTCTCTCTCTCCCTGTATCCCTCTCCCTCATTCTCTCTCTCCCTCTCTCCCTTAAAGGCTCTGCTTTGCCAATATTACATACTTCTCAAGAAACTGCTTCACATATATTGCTGTACTTAAGTCATACAAAAAAACCCAAAAGGAATCTGTCTAGTAAGACAGCCGCATCATAAAATCATAAATAAACCTGCAACTGCCCTCAATTAAACGCGTGTCATGTGTGCGATGACGGTGCTGATATCACACTCGGGCTTGTTTTGGAGGAAGTGAGGAGCAAGCGGCTCCCGACAAAAAAGAAAAAGAAAGAGAAAGGAGAAATAAGAGTCATTTTAACGGCGATCGCCTAGAACGGTCACAGAAGACGGCATCGGTATCCCAGTTTCAGATTAATCAGCCAGACCCAAAGCAATCTGCTTCCCATCGGCTGTCAGACGAGCGAAAACAACTCAAATAACAAACAATAGTGACTTAGCGAGGAGTTAGCGGTTAGCTTAAATACGAGCTAGCGTGAAGCGACTCACTCTTCTGATTCTCTGATAAGGTAAGTTACACTGTCAAACGACAGTATCGTATAAAGCAGCACATTAGCGGGTCAAGCGCATTTCTAAGGAAAGTGTTGTCCAAAAGCTGCCTTTTCTGGCCAATAGCGGTAGGTTAGCTATTTGCTAACACCAGATTCCACTGCAAGCTAACCGCGCTAGCTGTGCTATGCTATGCTGACAAACTGAGCGTCAGCATTGGCAGGGTTGTATTAGCTGGTTTACAATAGCGAGGTTAGTCTACGCTTTTATGTGATTTTTGGGGTGTTTCTAGGATTTTGTGACAACCAAAGAAGGTCATCTGCAGTGAAATAGCATGTCGATTCTGGCTAAGCTAAGCTAACGTTAGCTGGTGTCAAAGTCCGACCTTAGCCAGCATTCGCTCTGCAAAAACACTGACAACACAGACAGTGATGATTAAAGAGATGAGTAGCGTTAGATAAATAAATGGAGGGACAAATATGGAAATAAAAAGATTACACGGTGTTTTTACGTTATTAGTTTCTGGAGGTTATCTAAGATACGAGGCTGAAGTCGGCTTCCTATTCGCCAGCTTCTAGCGTTAGTTCGAATTTTCCCGTTCCACCTTAAATGGTGCGGCAGTTACATTCTGGCGGCTCAGGCGCTAGAATGTAACTGCTGGACCATTTAAGGTGGAACGGGAAAATTCGAAAAAGAACAGATTTCAGCTTTGTAGCTAAGGTGACGGAGCATATTGCCGACAGGATGTCAGTGCTAGCTAACCTAGCTAACTTCTCTAACTTCGTTTTCTGAGGTTTGGTCACCGTAAACCACACATTTAGATTACGCCTGTGTTTTTGTAGAAACGTTTAAGGCATTTCCATTAATATGTTCGTGTTTCGTTACGCTAAAATAGTGATATTCCACTGTTTTAATATGTGACATAGCGTTAATAATAGCTTAATTCTCGGTGAGCTGTCAGTCTTTACAGGGCGTTTTAAATTGTGCATGATGTTGCCCAAATCATAAGGTAGTTAGGTTATGTGGGTAATGTAGTTGTTTAATAGATATACGATTGCTTAGTTAGTTTGCAGCTCACTGCTCTTCTCTCAGCTGTTAATTTTATAATATTTTATCACCTCTCAAACTGCATAAACCATACCAGATGATGACATCACAACTATACATGCACTTGCATCTAATATAGTTATGTTTGTCATTTAATGATGATTTTTTGTCCCATAATCAGTACCAGCTACAAGCCCCTGCACAGTATCTTAACTTCCATGTGTGAGGAATTTCCATAACAGTCCACACCCTGTGCCAATAAATAAAGTAACCACATAAGACGTGCTGGTAGCAACACTAAACACTTATTGGAGTAAAAATTCAAAAAATGTTTTTTCTTCAGTAAAAAAAGGATTCTAGCTTGCTTCTACATAGAGGACTCTTATTCACGTTTGGAGAAAGGGCTTTGCAGTTTGCACCATGTGATCCGACTTTTCCTAGTGTCATGGGTTCCAGATTAAATATGGAGTTCACCATTGCAGTGAATTGCAGACATTGCAATGTGATGAACGTTAACCACGAATAAGCATGTATGGGACTGTAACCCCTACACGGACATGCTTTGTATTTGCAATGTTAGAAATATAGACTAGACATAGAATATAGAATATAGCTTTAGACTAGGATTGTGTAATAAGTCATGCCTGCTCATAAAGCTTAGTGCTTTATGTCCGATGTGGACAACGCTGGTTATTTTGCGTGGGTCATGAACTATGCAGTTCTACTTGGATACTGCATATTTTAGAAAGTTAACAAGACTTAAATGGATCAGTAAAGTTTGACTGCATTGACTATTGCTTATGGCAGATCATAGTTCACTGAAAGAGCAGCATTACTGTAGGCCTTTGTGACCATAATGCACACCTATATAATGGCCAGTACTTTGGCTTGCTCATTGCCCTGCTCTATGTATGTATGTATGCATGCATATGTCTTGATAGAATGCATCCTGTGACTGAATTGTGAATTTATGTAGTTGATCCGGCTGGCTAAAGTAACGCCAGCACCTTTCAGGCTCACCGATTGACCTCCCACTGGAGATTTTTAGGGAATTCCTTTTGTTTCAGTGGAGGATGCTTCAAATGATGTGGCTGTTGACAGCAGTGGTGTAACAATGCTCTTATTTTTAGATGTCATATGATTTTTGATTCTGAGGTTATAAGATGTTTGTTGTATTTTTGGATTTTTGCACAATTTTTTTCCCAGTTTAGCTGTAAGGGAGGGAGGGAGGACCGTCTTACCAACCCAGAGAGAGCAAGGACAGTGTTGATCTATTTGGACTCCCGCCAATGGTTGGCAGTGTCATCAATTGGGATTGAATGATTATTTTGATGCCTTATGTGTTAAAACTGCCATGTTCTACAGCTGTCTATATACCACACAGATTGTTTTGAGTTTTTGAACATTCTTTTTCTATTGCTGTCGTGCTGACCTCTAACAAAATTAGCCTGAAATGTCATAACCCTTAGAATTTATGTAATTATGTTATTTTATTAAGTGGTTTCAGGAAAAAGTCCAGACATTTGAAGGCAGGGGCAGGCATAGTATAAAGACCATCGTTTTTAATGAAGGTACGCACACTGGCACTGACGATTCCGAGTACTGTTCAGTTTCTACTACTACATTGAATTAAAGCCATATCAAAACCATCAGAAAGCCACTGTAGATGATGTGTGGCCAGAAAGGCAGTCATTCTTTTAGAACTGACAAATGCTATCAGACTAGTTGCCTCAGGTAGCGTCAGTAGCCTAGTCTAATTTTTTTTGCGTCATGTGTTTTGACAAGCTGATGCTAAGCGTGATCTATTGAAAGATCATTTAATTACATGTAGACGAGACA